CACCGTACCCACTGAAAAAAAAATAACATTATAGACAAACAACGTTACATTTTTTTAAATGACCTTTACTAATTTATTGAACTAGTTCTACAAGCAGTTGCCACCATGTGTTTGTGGTAAACTGAAGATAAAAATAAAAAGCATGAATCCTTTCATCATCATCATCATTATTGTTATCAATCTCATGATTGGTTGCGTTCGTAGGGTCACTGTGCAATTAAGCAGCTGACCAGTTCCTTCTAGATTGAAAGCCAAAGTGATATTCATTGAAGCGTACCCTATATATATATATAATGTTAAAAATATAATTTTAAGGTATGCCATATTTTTTGTTTTAAGATTAGAGCATATGCAAAGTAAAAGCGAACATTGAGGTCAATACCAAGCTGTCGCCGCTGTGTGTTTGACCTCACTGTCCGCTTTATATATATATATATATATATATATATATATATATATATATATATATATATATATATATAATATAATATGACGAATTTATTGACGTGATTAAAGCCATCATGGTTTGAATGAAGATTAGAGCTAGGTGATTCTTTCATGCTACGAGACATGAAAGTGCTTTTGCTAGAACAATATTTTTCAGTACGGTTTGCCCCAAGTGAGCTTGTTGACATCACTCTGGGGGAAAAATACGAGAGAATTCGAAACAGGGAAAGATTGAGAAAGACAGCCGAAAAAGAAGAAAATATTGAACATGTAATGAAAAAGGAGCGTAAAAATGGAAAATTCTGAGTAAGACATAATATGTATTGAGATCTGTTTATATTAACGTTCATATTATGCTGTCAAAAATTCTTCGTTATATTCATTGAGCGCTTATTTACAATACATTTCTATTCCTTTATCAGACATACTCAGGTCTGTTCTGCATTGCCATCAACCCCTACAGACGTCTTCCCATCTATACACAAGGTCTGGTCGATAAATACCGAGGAAAGAGAAGAGCTGAGATGCCACCCCATCTTTTCTCTGTGGCTGACAACGCCTACCAATACATGTTGCAAGGTAAGAAGCAATTACATTACTCATTTACCCGCTGAATTCTTTCTTTGCTTTTTATGTGCCATGTCCTTTCAGGACGTAGGTGATCATGGCTCTCCACCTCCTTCTATCCCTTGCAGCTTTCAACAAGTTCCTTTCCTCTGCTTCTTCCCCCTGTCATCCACTTGCTTAAGCCCATAAAGAATGTCACAAGTTGTTTTTCCTGTATCTCTTTCCCTCGTGATTCTCCAGGCCCTCCTTCCACATTATGTGTCCCAGAAACATCAGCTGCCTTTTCCTGATGTTAAGTATAAGCATCCTCCTTGTTTGCATCCTCTCTAAGACCTCGTCGTTGATCGCACGCTCGGTCGATGCAGACATATTAACTATTTATATCTGATATAATGCTTATCTTATTCAAAATAATCAGATGGCTATGTAAATATCAGCATAGAAATATTTTTTTTATTTGATGAGCTCAAGCAGATAAATCGTTTTTCATAAAATTGCACATTTATGTAAACATTAAACCATATACGTTTTATTATAACCAGTTTCACATAGACACAAGGATTGAAAGCCATTCAAAGTAGAAGGTTATTAAATTACAGTAATTTAAGAGGAAGTAATAGAAACTGAAAGTTATGAGGATAAAGAGAATAAATAAAGATCAACCCTTGATCTGAAGAGATTAAGATTTTGCCGTTCAGGGAAACATTCACATGGTATCCATTTCCACAATTTTCGGGTAACTCCCTCCTTACAAATGGAGTACACAGAAATTGAGGCTGATTTGGTTCTGTGGGTGTAGTATAGATTTTGTTAGTCATTTTTAATGCACTTGTTTTGACCCTTAAACGGCAGACGTATAGGAGTAGATAGGCTCGCCTACCACCCGGTTCACACCCTCCTCGGTCTTTGAAACAGGAGTAGAGGTCTATCCCTTGTATTCTGTTTAGATATGGGTTTCTGGTTCCTTCTAAACTCTACTTCAACTCTATATTTCTAACGTCTCCGTCTAAAATTAATTTTATTTATTTAAATTATTTACGCCCAATAAGGGCCTAAAATTTAATTGATAGAACTTAATTTAATTTAAAATTTAATTGATAGAATTTAATTTAATAATTAAGATAGTAATTTAATTGATAGCACTTTCCTTAGTATATGGGATGTTCCTAATAGGGCGATTTTCTGGGCAGCTTGTATGATGATGTTACCTGGGACACTTAGTAAAATTATCCATTTCTTTTCTCACGAGGCCCAGTGCTCCAATTACTATTGGTAGAGTCTCAGTCTTCATTCCCTACACATCCTGTTAATCTCGATCTCCAGGTCCTTGTATTTAGACAATTCCCCGATAATCTACAGGAAGATGTTCTCAGAAGATACAGCTATGTCAATAAGCATACCCTTGTGCATTTCTTGTCTTTTATAATATAAGGGCTGCTGGCTTTTATTTCCCTGTCAGTTTGAATATTATTATTATTATTATTATTATTATTATTATTATTATTATCTAACACGTTATCATTGTTTATAGTTTTTGTATATAATTAAAGCGAAAATAAGCATATGAAAAACTACTCTTTAAAAAATATATTTTTAGCCGTTTGTGATCAAAGTTCGAGCAAACTTTTCCAGCTGTTTAAGGATTAAAAAGAGCGTTTTTTTTCTTTATTTTTCTCTCTTTGCCTTTCTGGTCTTATATGTCTTTTTTTCTTTCTTTCTGCTCATTGTAGATCGTGAAAACCAGTCCATGTTGATTACGTGAGTTACTATTTTTATCTTATTTGCTTGACTGCACTTCTACGGTCTGTGAATGACAGCTTTAAAATACATTCATTACATAAATAGTCGATGGACACTCTGTAAACAAAACAGCGCACAACAGCGAATCTATCTACAAATAATCATCATAGTCATCATCATCATCATCATCATTGTCGCCATCAGTCCGATGACCATGTATAGTCGTAGGGTCTCTTCGTTGACCAATTCCTTCCACATAGCTTGAAAACCGAATAGGTATTCAATCATGTCTTGAGTAAGTACAACTAGAGGAGCGCATCTCTCTGTGTGTCAGACCACAGCCGAAGTCCTCCTGATTGAAGGCTCGGCTAGATCAAGGGCATGTGACCGTTGATTTCATCGGCAGAACCCTTCGCCCTGACCGTTGATTTAAATCTAGGAAACCCTTCGCACAGTAATGCCGAGTCATCCATTGCTATGGAGCCCAATCTACCTCATTAGGCTAGATGATCGTTGACCCTAAAAAAATCTTGTTTTTTAATCCTCCTAGGTTTGTAACCAACCAGTGACCTGCAGAGATTTGTTGATACCCGAGGACAACTTGATTGTATGCTCCTAACACTCAAATAGGGCAGCCTACTCCGGTCTTGCTTATCAAGGCACGGATCCACAGTCACATGATCTTGTGGGACTATAGGGCGCTTGTACAATGAAGTTAACAGAGTCAATTTCAAAAGACATTTTTATTTCACTCTTTGACTGGATGCCCTCCCGATATAGACACCGGAACCGTCGTCCCTCTGCCCTCGTTTTTTCACGCTGCTGCTTACCAGATAAGCTTGGTGGAGGGGAGTATATGTCGTATCCTAACGATACGTTAAGAGACTCATGATCTTCGAAATCGATTTTAATATTATCTTTTAAAAAATTAACATTTTTAAACGTCGATTTATCAATCGAAATCTTCTATTTTATTATTATTATTATTATTATTATTATTAAATTTACAAATCTTTTAACAAATTATAAGAGAAGTATAAGACAAATCGTGGCTGGATATTTGGTCGGTGAAATATTCACCTTCACGATTTTTATCAAAACAGACATTTTTTTACAGATGGATATTCGTCCAAATGACTATATGGCTTTTTTAATAGTTATTTTTTTATATCCTTTTTTTTTTTTAAATAAATATATTTTATAAAATAAACTATAAAAACTATGAAATTAACTTTAATTATATAAATGTAAAGCTATCAAAGATATTATTTGTAATATAATAGAATCGTAAACAAAAATGCAGTATAAAATGAAACATTTATGTCATAGGCTCTTATTCCCATGAAATCATTTCTGTTTCATTCAAACCATTTATCCGTTCGGAAAAAAACTGTCGATCAAACATCATTCCATCAAGTTACGGGGAGTCAGGCAATCAGTACATTCATTAAAACAAAATGCTTTTTTTCTTTTTTTTAAAACGCGTTGACCTTTTACTATCGTTATTATATATGGACGCCATTTTGACAGTGCGTTCAGTTTTACGGAGTGTTCATAATCTTGCCTAGCTCATAAAACACGTATGCTCAATCTGAATGAAAAATAAAAAGACTCTTGGACAAAATTAAAAAAAAACTATTATGCACCGTGATATGCACATATCTATAGGCAACATTTACATTGATGCGCTGTACGTGAATACATTATCAAACACTTACACGTATGTCATCAGACACGATATTACGAATACACATCGATATGAAAACAAGCGTTACTTAATGTCTACATATCTACAATTATCCGTATATCAGTCAAATGTATATCTACCGTAAATTCACTTGGAAATCAACATATCTCACCTTATTAGCTGAATTGAAATGTTTAACTACATATTTTTCTTAATTCCTTATTTTAGAATTTCTCTCGTTTCCTTAATATAATTGATAATTGTTTAACGTTTCGGATCCAGCCGATCCATCTGCAAGGATTTGTATAATTTTTTTGTCTTCGCCACAGGCTTTTTTACAGTTTGGATGACTGTTTCAGATATCTGTAGATATGTAGATCAGGTAAATGCGTGCGCCTGTCTCATTAGAAATTTGCTGCACTGCCTTAGCGTGTAGACAAGGAAAACCAATTTTACATAACGCTTGCAATAAGATCATTTCTTGATATTTTCTTCTTTAGAAAGCAACTCAATATTTTTTTTTTCTTTTCGTTATCTTATGTTTTGCTATTGTATTGAACATTGTCACGTTGAAACACCGGTTTTCGTATGACTACCGAAGTTAAGCAACGTCGATCCTGGTTAATACCTAGATGGGTGACCGCTTGGAAATACCAGTTGCCCTAAGCTTGGTGGTGCAGGTGGTGTATTGAATAACGGCTCAGAATTGGAAATCGGAGGGCCGAGTTCCAATCCTAGTCGTGTTCTTCATATTCACATGCGCAAATACCTTTAGGTAAGGCATGAATCCACCGCTTCTTCCCCACCGCAACGATGGATTAATTAATCGAACTTGTATCAGTAAAAATCATTATTTCCAAAAAATGCTTCCAATCTAAAAATATTTTTCTACCTTTAAATAACCTGCAAAAGGTTGATGAGACATAAAAAAAATCAATTCATCATTCATTGCATATAGTAATACAACTTTGATCTTGTAAAATACATATACATCTTTGTCTCTCCTGTTTTTCCCTAATCTTTCTGTTTCAGTTTTTAGTTTCTTTTTTCTCTCTCTCTCTCTCTCTTCTTCTCTCTGTCTCTATTTATCTTTTTCAATATAATATTTCTTGTTTTTCTTTCCTTTATTAAGTATACAATTCTTTTCTTTTCTTTTTTTTTTTTTTGTAATGTTTTCCATCTCAGATCCCTACCTAATCATGTAGCTTCTGTAGCCGATTTGGTTAAAGCGTCGCCTAAGAAAGACGATCTTTAATGATATCCGCTACGAATTCAAGTCTTGTCAAACGTTGTTCCAATTGTTCACTGTAAAAACGTCTCTTCTTTTCGAAGAAGTGTGTCGACCTCTTTGATAAAAAGAAACCATAAGATAACGAACATTACTCAAAAATGAATGATTTTCTATTTCATTTCATTCTAATTTTTTCTGTCGTTCTCTTTATTTTCTTTGTCGTTTTGTTTTAACTCTTCTTTCTCCCCTCTTTTTTCTTTCTCCCCTCTTTTTTCTTTCTCCCCTCTTTTCTCTTTCTCCCCACTTTTTTCTCTTTCTCCCCTCTCTTTTCTCTTTCTCCCCTTTCTTTTCTTTCTCCCCTTTCTTTCTCTCTTTCTCCCCTTTCTTTTCTTTCTCCCCTCTCTTTTCTCTTTCTCCCCTTTCTTTTTATTCTCCCCTTTCTTTTTATTCTCTCCTCTCTTTTCTCTTTCTCCCCTCTCTTTTCTCTTTCTCCCCTCTCTTTTCTCTTTCTCCCCTCTCTTTTCTCTTTTCCCCTCTCTTTTCTTTCTCCCCTCTTTTTTCTTTCTCCTATCACTTTTTTCTCCTCTTTATTTTCGTTATATTTTCCTCATTATTTGTTGTCCTTATCCAACATTCTTCTTTTCTTCCACTTTATTTCGCTTGCACCTTTTCTCTTTCTCCGTCTCTTTATTTCCCTTGCTGCTTATCTTCTGCCTCTCACCGATACAAGCACACACTTTTCTTTGTATTATCACATCTCTTTCTCTCTTTCTCTCTTGATCATTTTGTGCATATTTCTTAAAATGTGCTTTGAAACTGCTTGAAAGAAGCATGATAAGCTTCAATTAGTAATCTAACAGCTTCGAATGACCGATTCTTTGAGAATGAACTATCATCAGATAGATAATATGTTCGCCGGCATACGTATGTACACAATATGTGTCACAAATACCATTAAACAAAATGGATCAGCATATATTGTCTATGTATGCAATGCACGGTCGAACATAATATATCAGGCCTCACAATATTGCATTTTGGCATCAACAATCTAATGCACCTTGGCTCGTTGGCTTCTAAACTGAAGCTGCTTTATTATGAATATTATTATTACGATAGAGTGCTGCTCTGTGATTGGCTATTTAATGCTACGTCATTGTTTAAGATGAATTAAATTCGAAATCATATTGTTTAAATATCATAAACGAAGGATTTTAATAAAATGGACTGCAAATAAGGAAATAGATAAATTATGTAAAGTTTAAGAAAGAAGGATTTAAAAAATATGATTCAGATTTGCAATTATTTGTCGCTAGTACTAAATACTTTTGTAGATCTTCTAAGTTTTGAGACACAAAGATTTAAAGCTGAGATTGTCGTCTGCTTTTGACAGTATTCATGTTGCAGACGACATCGGTTCCGTTGCAGTCCAGTATTCAGTTATATTTTTCAAATATCATAATTCTGTAATATTTTTCGAAATAGATATGAATTGATTTTGAATTATCAAATCTCAGTTTTACGTTCAGTTTATTAAATCCAAGACTGAACGAAATTTGGTTCTATGGAGTGTATATTCGGCAAAATGTCCGTTTAATATATGAAGGAATAAAACGTGAACGGTGTCGTCTAGTTTTTATTATAAAACCCAACAGATTTTGTAAATGTTGTTATCTGACTAACGAACTTGTATGTATGGTTTTAAATGTAATTTTAGATATCAAGGCAGGTTGGTAGGGGTAATAATTCGAAGTGTCGGTCCTAACAGACTGACTGAAGCTGAACATAAATGTATTTAAATCCTTAAAAAAGTGTAGCGAATTTAAATATATTAACAGTATTCATCCAATTTACCATTCGTAGCATTAAAGATCTAAAAGTATCGGTTCGTCTTAAAAGTCAGAATAAGTCTGATGACAGAAAATTTAAATTTTCTATTCTTTCTTTTTTTTGCCAGGAACAAACTGGCTTTGATTTATTTTCCGCAAACTTTTGTTTTGCTCAGACCAACAAAAAAAGCGGAAGCCTTAAACTCCGAACCAAGAATTTCTGATTTCTTTTACTGTAATCACAAGGCTGTTTAGTTTTCTAGTGCTATGGTGCTGTTGTTGTTGTTGATAATGTTATTCTTTTGAGGACGTAGTGGTGAATCTGGGGCCGGGAAAACAGAAAGCACGAAGAAAGTGATTATGTATTTCGCCGAAGTAGCAGCTCATCAGGAAAGAAAGCGAGAGAAAACAGACTGTACACGCGCCGTAAGTGCCCAACGCCATGTTTTATTGATTCATGAATTATATCCGTCATATTTGTTCTCGGCAACTTACGCATTCACGCAAAACCGATACCTGCTAGTTTCCATATTTAATATTTTTTTTTTTAGAAAAAGAGCAGTTAGTTTAAATTATAGATCATTAAATCTCTTACTTATAAGAACTACAATAAAGAAAACTCTTACTAAATCGTTTCACTGCGACCAGTAAGCAAAACGTCATTATGAAAGAACAAAGAACGGTTCTGCGTTTATATGTAAAATGTCGAACAAATATGTCTTCCTCTTGAAATCGTAGAGAAAATGTTTTTACCTTCTGAACTGGAGATTGTTCTAAGCGGCCATTTTGATAATTGATGTAACGATAAGTACCAATCTTTATCAAGTTAATATATTATGATTTAACATGATTATTAACATAAAAAAGTTACCCTTCAGAGTGCTTTTGAATATATACTACTGTACAATGTCCAGCTTTGAAAAGGTATGAATATTTTCTAAGAGCATTCATGAGAAAGACAAAAATGGTGTGACGCAAATGTATTAAATGTTCATTTAAATATGACTTCTCTTGTACCCACGCGATGCGTCGGCAGCGTGGCTGGTGAAATAACAGTGACGTCAAGAGTTCCCTTTTTTTTCTTCTTTTTACCCCAACAGTGGAGAGTCTGGAGCAGGTAAAACTGAGAACACGAAGAAAGTAATTCAGTACTTTGCTCTCGTGGCTGCCAGCTTGGCTGGAAAAGAAAAGAAAAAGGAAGAAGAAAAGAAGGTAGCGAAGAGTTAGGTTTTGGGCATGAAGCTGACCAACGATGCCTGCTAAAAACCAATACAAACCCTCAAAACTCATTCCAAATCCTTTACCCATTGATGTATTTTTTTTCATTACTAAAACAACTCACAGTAAAACCTCGATTTAACGTACTTCGATTTAAGGAATATCGAATTCAAGAAACCACCCGTGAATCACATGGACCATAACAAACTGACTTTTTAACTTTTTTACTGAACAAAGCTAGATAAACGCGAAAATAAATTATTCATCAAATCCGTGTTAAGTTACTAAGTACACGTCAACATTGTTACTGGAAAATGAAAAATTTTGCTGATTTCAATTATTTTTAAATACAATTGTTACTATAAATAACAAACTCTACTTAACAACTGTGTGTGTGTGTGAAAGAGACAGAGAGCAAGAAAGTGAGAGTGACACCATCACAATGTTTCGGGTTGTTTAATGTTTAGCTATGGTCAATTACTTATGGTAAGCGAGGATGTGTAATGGATAGCGAATATCAATGAGGAATCGGAGAGCCGGGTTCAAATTCCAGTCGGCTTCGTTACGCGCACTCTTGGGAAAAATATGAATCCATCTTCTCCCCACCCCCAACTATGGATTAAATAGTTGGACGTGATTCTGAAGAAATCGTTGTTATTCTCAAAATATTGTTAATGCAATATTCACTCATAAAAAAAGGAAATATTCTTACAATCAAAAATATTTTCGGCTTTAAATAACCCACAACGTGTTGATAAACCGTAAAAAAGCCAAATCAATCAATTTTTGTAAACGACTGCTCTCAGTAACCCTCCTGTGAGTGCTCATAACTAGTTTCTTCTTTATGAAATGAGGGTCTATCAGATTAAAGGAACTATCGTAACGCACTCTTTCCCCAATTAGTTCTTTAAATCGAGGTTTTGCTGTACAAAAGGAACCAGCGATTTTAGTCTTTAAATAATTATAGCAAAATATAATCACTTTCAAGCCTTTTTCTCGTTATTTATTTAATCAATTTGTTTGTTCATATAAACATTCAGGCTTACTATCAAACGAAATAGCTGAGAAAAATACAATACATTTTCGTTTTTTCAATAACCCTAGATATAACAAAAACCTACCGTTATTTATATATTTATAATTAACAAACTAACATTTCGTTGACGGAGGATAGAAATCATATTTTATTTATACACCATTAAACAGAAATAAATCAATATACTTAATGAATTAAATCCATATATTTAAAGATTTCATTAAAGCTAGAAAATTTTTCCACTGATATGCCTTTTGACTGTGCCCGCCATAATATTGAGTACATGTTAAATTAATTTATTTTTAAATATTTAAGGATTCAACAATGAAAATGATTTTTAAATTCTCTTCAATAGAGTCAATTATGCCAGTAAATATTAAAATTGCGGGCGCACAAATAAATAAATAAAAAAAACGTTAACTATGATCTCGTCCATGATTTTGTTTTTCGTTCTGGCCAAAACGAAATAACGAAATCTATGCCGAGTTCAGTTTTTACATTAACCGTACATACGAGTCTACTTCGAGACATTTTTTCAATCTTCTATAAACTGCAACTAACTAAATATATATATATATTTATATTCATTTAATCAGTTAAACTAAGATGTATTTTATATTACTATTACTTATTTCTATTATATATCTCAAATCAATCTTTTACATATCAATATAGGAGATACATAATACGTTTTGTTGGCTCTTAACAATCAGAAATTACCTGTCTTATTAATAACTCACACTTTGATGAAGGAACGCAGTTAAAAATTTAACTTGATCCGGAATAATTACCCAAGAGTACTTTTAAAAATACCCCTCAAAAAAGTTGATTTTCTGGACAGTAATATTAATATAAATATATTTAAAAGTTAAATATCTACAATAATTTAATAATCTTTTAATACATTTAACTTTTTCGGCTTACAGGCATATTTTAAAATTTTAAATTTTGAAAATAATTAAATTTAATACATTTTATATATATATTTATTATACTATATAGCGAAAATTCTTATGCTTTCCTTATATTTTATATATTTTTATTTTACATTTTTAAAATTTTAAATAACGACACTTTATTGCGTTCCCTCATTGTAATATTTTTTTTAATTATTTTTTTTATTTAGCAGGCATTGTTTTTTTTCGGCGCCCTTCCCTTTCTCCCTGGAAAAATATAACTGAAAAAATTTGTCTACATATACGTCTATATATCTCTGAGTGTGATATTAAAAAAAAAAAATGAATTTCCCAAATCTGAATCCACAACTAACCATCCACTATTTCCTCAATTTCAATTTCGTGACCAGTAACCCAAGTCCTTATATCTAACCATGTCTCACTTTCATTTAACAATGTTTTGTTTGTTCTATTTTATTTTATTTATTTTTCTTTTCTCACCTTGTTCTCTGGCATTCCATCTTGTGACCCTGTATTTTTTGCCCGTACCTTTCTTTTATAATTGAATCAATTACCATCTTCGACACAAGGACATCGGTTTATCTTCGCATCGATTCTATCGTATTTTATTTGGAGCTTTAAAGTTAACAACATATATTCTTAAAATATCATTTCGATAATTGAAAGATAAATTCTAAATTCCAATGACATTCGATCAGCTGAAAATCAGTACCGTGGCATAATTAAATCTCAAATATACAAATCGAATGTATATATTTCCATTTCGTACTGTATAATGAAAAGAAAAATATAGAACTTCATTATTGGAAGTACTGAGAGCTGATATGAAACAACCGTTGTCACTTCAAATATATAGTCGAATGATTGTATTGTTTTATTTGTTACCTTTTTTTTTTATTTTTGTTGTTGAAATATTTTTCTAATATATGTTGCTATAATGTCAGTTGGATATTTTTAAACATGTAATGTGAAATGATTGTATGATTTCAGAAGGGTTCTACGAAGTGAAATTTAGTTACTTTATAAAGAAAAAAAAACGAATAAAACAGACGACACTGAAAATTCTATTTATCAAAATAGCGTTGCAAAAGCTATTTAACAATTTTTAATCTATGCTTTATTCAGTAATACTCTAAAATGAAACTTTCAATTTAAAAGAGCTCTTCTGAAAATATATATGCTGTTAAAATCTTCATAAATTCTTTAAATGTATTGATGATTATTGATGTATTGATTTATAAATGCACATTTGAATATTATACTCTGTTTTTTCTTTACATGCTCTTATGTATTACATGTATATATATATACTTTGAACTTTGATGTTTTTGATATGTAATTCCGTATTGATCTTAAATCTTTAGTAATGTTTATTGAAAGCGGTACAACTAAAACGAGAACCACTTCGGTATTTTTCTGTGACGTTATGAATTATTTTTATTATATTAAAATTTTTAACCAAAATTAAATAAAATTAAGCGGCTTATAATGATCTGACCGCATCTTCAGATATTTATCAACCATTCATACGATTGTCTATCAATGATTAGAGGTTCTTCTTTTTAGTTCTATCTATTTGTGTATATATGTGTGTGTATATGTGTGCATATTTTTGTAGCTGTTTGTGTGAATGCCTGCCGAAAGTTCTTCTATATATATATATTTTTTAATTGATAATTGTTTATTGATTCATTTATATCATATCAGTTTGAATGTTTCTCTTATAATGTTGGCTTATCGCCGCCACTTCGTCCCACACCCCAACATCGGTCATTCCAGCTGAACGAAATCGAACAATTACTGTTGTCCGGTTCAACATGCTCATTTCAATTTTCATCTTAGAGTTTAAGGGTCCCGGACCCCTCGAAGAAAAAAAGAAAAAAAAAAGATTTTACACACCCAGTCCAATATCAGTCTCAACCCCTTAAAAATCCTCCTGATATTCCGACTATATTTTAGCACTAAGCATGATGTATACCTAATACCCCCCTTGTCTACTTTTAGCAGTTCTTTTTTTAACGCTAGCAACCGATAAGTGTATAAGAAAAGCTATACATTCTTCTGCTAGCTTTACGTGTCCACCAACAGCCCAAATCTCTTGATTTAAATATTAGGTTGGTGCAAAAATAATATCGTTTTTTGACGTTCAACTTCAAAAGAGAAAACGACACTATTTTTGCACCAACCTAATATTTCCTTAACAGAAAGTGTTGAATTTATTCTTGAATCATAAACTCTTTTTGGATATTCCTTATTTTTTCAATCATAAACTCTTTTGGAGCATTCCACTTAATAAAAAAAATATCTCTATCTTATATCCGATGAGGATTGCTTATTATACTGTAATCCCTTTCTATGGCCATTTTTGTGTTCCGCGGGGTTTGACGGAATATTCCTCATGGTTCTGTCATGTCAATTCTTGACCGAGAGCCAAACAACGAATTCCAAATAATACAAGATGTATGTTTCCAGAAACTTACAATGGCGTTTCTGATATTCTTACTTCGCAACATTTTCAAATTCAAAATCCCCACCCCCCGTTAAAAGCCCCGAATACGGAACCTACAGACAAGCTGTTTTTACAATCACATTTAATATTGCCTTTATAGCTACAAACAAGTTGTTTGTATGTATGACGAATGCCCATAATGAAAGACAAGTAATAAAAAGGCAATATATACATATATATATATCATTGACATATCCTTTTTATTAATATATCTATTTGTGAGTAAATGACTGATATGAAATACTCGAACAAAGTATGAAAGATAGAATTGATGAAAACTAGTCAGATGTTTTAAATTTGTATTCTGTTGTCAACGTTTCCTTCAATACGAACATCATCAGAACTGAAAAAATATGTATGTGTGTATTTATATACCTAAGAGTATTGTCCTATTCAAATTACAATTATTGACATATTTTTGTCTTTTTCTTTTTCCCTCCCACAATTTTTCCATTCCAACTCTACCAACATCTTTATAAAATCTCCAAATATCTCCAACAACTTAAAATATAAATATCCACGTCCAAAAAAAACAAAAAAAAAAACAAAACACGAAAACCCTTCTCTCTCTATCTCCTCAAAACAATACCGAACGAATTCTATCTCTCAAACTCATTAAAAAAAAAAAAAAAAACACAAAAATGTCAACCTACCATTCCCATTCCCTCTGGAAATATAGAAAGATGAGAAGAAAGGAACCCTTGAAGATCAGATCGTACAGTGCAACCCTGTACTTGAGGCTTACGGAAACGCCAAGACCACCCGTAATAACAACTCCTCTCGATTCGTAAGTACTGCTGACCAAGCTCAGCAAAACCCAAAACTACCATTATACAACTAATCAACACTGGGCAAATGACAAATGTGTTGCCGGGATCAACATGGTAACCCCTGTAACAAAAAAAAAAAAAATCACTCAACTGTCAACAAACTACCATCTAATTGGCTAACCCCTCCCACGTGACTATTGATCAATTTTCTAATAACTACCCTCCCCAGACTCCACCCACATTCGCACGACATTGGAGCGATTATTAATACTTAAGTCGTGTATGCAATTGATGTATCAATTTTTGATCGATTCTCGATGCTTCTGCTACGAACAGTAGATAAAAATAATGTCAAATGACTTTGTCATTGTTTTGAGAGCTAAACAGGAAAATCCCAACAGAACTCTTTATGCAAAAATGAAGTACAAACATATATATATATATATATATATATATATATATATATATATATATATATGAGATAACGATATAAATATATTTTATATATCAAGAACAGTACTGTAGAAATAGTAGGACAAAGTGGAAAAAGTTTACTTGTGATGCATTTCATCCTTCATCGCACTAAATCTTTCATCATAACAAATTTAGTCTGATGAAGTCCTGAAGAACGAAACGCGTCACAAGTAAACTAAACTTTTTCTACTTTGACATACTATTTTTCCTATATATATATATATATATATATATATATATTTACACAACTTATAAGAATATTGTAATTATCACATAGCAAGAACCGATTTGTCTTAGCTATATCATTAATTTTATCTTATCTTATACCATTATTATTATGATATTAATTACTAGACTTATATATATAAAAAAAAACAAAACTGGAGGATATCATCTAGGATCACACTGATAATATCTCTAGATAATATAACTCCGTTGCCTTTATAAGGTCTCATCTTTGGAAAATACTTTCTTTTTTTTCATTTGTCTAATGTCAACTGATCGAAGCAACGAAAATTGATATTTCAATTGCTACGTCCGGCTATAAACGACGACTCCCAAACTAAACAATTTTAATAAACAATCTCTCTATGTATCTCCCTGTCTCTCTCTCTCCCCCCCCCTTCTCTCTGTGTATCTGACTCCAATTCAACCCACCCCGTCACTGTATTGAAAGTCTTACTCTCTCCAAAATAAACCCATTCCGCGGCTATCACGTTTTAAAAACCACTAAAACCTAACTGGAAAAACAAGAAAACAAAAGTGTTTCTTGACAATAACTTCTGCCTTTAATATTTTCCAAGTCCGTGTCCTCATATTACTGTCTCTGTCCGTATGTGTCCATATCATCCCTTCGACTGAAAAAATCTAATCCGCAGTAATCACAATAATATTGGCGTTCTTCTCAAATAATAATAATAATAATAATAATAATAATACAGTGTTGAATGACGCCATAAAATATTCTAATATATAACTCTCTAAACTCACTTCTCATTCCATACTCCATAGTACCCATCCTTTTTGCACACGTCTCTCTCTCTCTCATTTTTCTTATTTGATATTTTTATATTTTTTGTTTTCGTTTTTTTTTGTCCTCACTTTTATTTTTATGAACTACTACTGCCTCCACCACTATTCACCTATTTTTTATTTTATTTTTTATTTTTTTATTTATTTTTCTATTTTTTATTTTTTTATTTTTTTTTACTCATTCAATTTTCATATAGTCCTTTCCCGTATTTTCCGTAAAAACTAATCGGTGTCTACGTTTCAAAGCTTCTTTTGTATATCTTTTGTCATTTACGTATACGCCAACGAATCTTTTAACAAACGCTAGTGTTCAGATCCATACAAGCATTATCTGAGTGCAATTTCTTAGCCACCGGTAACTGCTATATTCCAATTAAACACACCATACCATTCTCGAAGAAATTAAGTTGTCTTTATAATCCCATATCCCCAATCCATTTTGGGGGTTCTTGGATATCTGAATTAATAAATTAAAACCAGTATATGAAAACAACTCTTGAAATTGTACCAAAATCTTCATGTCGAGAACCCGATTATTCTTATGCAAAGATTAACGAACCCAATCATCTTGATAGAGTTTGCTATATCATGACTGGGTGCGCTAATCTTAACAAAATCAAAAAAAAAAAAAAAAGAAAAAACGTTTACCAAAAATCGGTCGTCTTCTATTTTAAACGTATCGAATAGAATTTGCTTTTCAAGTCCTTTTTTTTTTTAATATTATGTTCATTAAAAATCAAATAAAAGATGAACTCGTTTATAGCAGAAATACGAATGTATACGTAAAAGACAAATGACATGTAAAAGAAGCCAGATGAAGCGAGTCGTCAAGGAAACAACTAACAAACTGAACAATGAAATCAACGTTACCAAACGTCATGTTCGTTGATCTGTGCCTCTCTTCATTTTCTCTAACATGTGTGACCTTGTTTTTTTTTTTTCCTTCTTTTTCTTCTCATCTTCATCCCCGTGTGTCATAGGGGACTTTAGAGGACCAAATTGTGCAAGCCAACCCTGTACTAGAGGCTTACGGAAACGCAAAGACCGTGCGTAATAACAACTCGTCCCGATTCGTAAGTACGCAGCCGACATAAACCAGGTTGGTTTTCCGACTCTGTACGGAGGCGGGAAGAGGAACTAAAGGCTGATTCGGACACAAAGATACAAAAAAAAAAAAAAAAGAATATACATACATGGGAGAAAACAAAATAGACAACTGCACAAAGCGAACGGGAAAAGTTCTTAAATCAACAATTATTTATTAACACAATTCATTTTTTTTCTTTTTCAATTTCCTCACCTTTAAACTCTAGCGACTGCAAAACGGAAACACCATGAATGACCCAGGACATAACTTGCTGCTAACCCCACCAAACCCCAACCCTATGTTCTAACACCTTCTTTTTAGAGCACTACCAGTTCATCTAACCAAAACAAAAACTGATGCAAGGAGTGAGAGATTTTCATCTCTCTCGCTCTGTTTCTTTGTTCGTCCGCTTGTTTCTTTCTATCTCCTTCTCTAACCATATTTTTCTTATTGTGTGTAGAAAAGACTATATCTACGTTATTGTTTATATCTGATGTCTCTCTCTGTCTCTCTCTCTTTCTCTCTTCCTATCACATCTCTGTGACTGAAATATCCATTAATTGGCAAAATTAGATGCCTTTTGCTTATTTTATTTTATTAGCACTTAATGAGGATCGACCTCACTATCATAGTAATAGTCTTCGAGATTTTCTTGTTAATCACTATTTCATTATAAAGGGTCCATAATTTATTCATTATTCTTCCTACTTTAATTGTTTTTTTAATTGATCTAACGCAAAAAAGCAGTCACCGAGGTTTGATTGTGCAGAAAAAGAGAAGGAGTGGGGAAAGCGCAACGAAATTCAAACACGCGGACTAAAATCCTCACTGACAAGATCTTTGTGTTTCTTTTCTCTCTGTCATCGTTCGTCTTTTTAACACTTTTACCTTGTGTGATTTTACTACGTGCTGGTATCAGGGATCACTTGAAGACCAGATCATCCAGGCAAACCCTGTGCTAGAAGCCTATGGTAATGCCAAGACCATCCGTAATAACAACTCGTCTAGATTCGTAAGTATGGATACAATGGCGGAAACAGACTCTTTGAAAACAGACATCAGTGACCTAAAAACAGTTCCAGTCATTACTTACCAAAACTCCACCCCCACACGGCACTTTGCTAAAAAAAAAAAATTGCCATTTACCAACTGGTCCCCCAACCAACTTGACCTCTTACTTATTTTTCGTTTACATTACCCTTATTTATATTATGTGTCAAACTTATATTATTTACATTGTTCGGACTGTTATCCTCATCTTTGTTGCGGTATTCACAACGTTTCGGCATTACGCTCCGGCCTTCTTCAGGTGATTGGAATTTCGAACTGAACCCTTTATTTCGTACATTGTAGTAGATTGTTCTAGTTCCACGTTCCATGCCTTTTCCGGATGTCTCAGTTATCTCCCTTTAGCTAAACTCTCCAATTTTTTGATTCACCGCTGCAGTAGCCAGGTATTGAACTCACAACTCTTTGGGTCAAGTCACTGGATCCAACCAACGCTTTTATCCACTGGACCATTTGTCATCGAGGACAACAAAGATGTGGACAACAGTCCGAGCAATGTAAATGATTACAATACCTCATCTCAGAAATATAGTCAATGTCAAACTTCTTTACTTATCTTAATATTTTAACGCTCAATGTTATCACTTTATTCTTTTCTCTCGCATTTTATATTTCTTAACGCCTTACGAAAAAAAAAACAATTATTTTATTTCTAAGCCTCCTTTATTTTATTTGTTCTTTATTTTTTATTCTATTCATTTACTCCTATCCCCCCCAAAAAAAAACACTTTTATTATGGCCTTCCATAAGAAATAGTGTTTTGTTTAATGTACCCCTATGTTTCTATGTAAACCTCTACTCTTAATAATACTTTCTATTATTCCTAAGTAACGTCTTTTTTTCCCATTTCCCCTATAATAACACTTTTAAAATATCATAGATTAACTTCTCTTGTCGATTTCAGTATGAATAATAATAATAATAATAATAAGGAAACGAAAAAATGAACCAAGTAGTTCAAGTTGTCCCTTTTGGGATTGACGTGTACTCGGGACTATTTCCAGGAGTCTTTCTACTCCGCAGGACGCTTAAGCTTACCTGACATCATTGGGAGTGTGTAAATCGCAACGCTGTTTGACACAGATCATGAAAAGTGCTGTGTCTCTAAGTCGCGGTTGGAAGTTGAGATATGATCATCATCACCCGGCCTAAATATCTTAAAGTCGGAGAGAATCTCAATAATAATAATAATAATAATAATAATAATAATAATAATACCTCATAAAGGTTTTTATTGATTTATTTAAAGTTTTAAATAAAATTAACAGAATATTTTAAACTCATCTTTTTACATAAAAATAAAATTTAAATATTGATTTTAGAAATAGACTTCAGATACGAAAATCATATCAATTAAAATATTTCTGAATTTGAACGTTTAATAATAACAATAATAATAATAGTAGTAATAGTAGTAGTAGCAGTAGTAATAGTAGTGCTTGAGAAATCCGATTTTTTTCTTGGAGGAAGAAATCGCCAAAATTAATTTTACGTAGCAGATGATGTCTGAGAACACCACTGTCTTTTTATTCTCTGGTTCTTCAATGTGGCTCTTTCCTGAAACAGGGAATTTTTCTCGGGATTTCCAAATATTCCGCAAAGAATAACATTAAAATTTTCTCTGATCATTTTTGCCAAGGAAAAAAAAAACAAGCTCTTCTCTTTTTAGAAACAACTTGTTGTTTATTTGAAGTTGTTTCCTTTTAGTTATGTTCAACTTGCAAAAGAGCTCGCCACTGGCTTCTTTGAGCTGGTCCACCAAGGGGGACTTGAGCACGGGCAAAAGGATTAAGTTTTAATGGTTGGGGGAGGAGCATCACATAGCCGGCATTTAGCGACATAGCAAGGTCAACGGGTAGGGAAAGCGGGTGGAGGGAGAGGCCGGCTCTTGCTGCTAAAGTGGACTTATTTGTCTCTTTCGCTGGTGGAACATGCAAGAACTAACGACTTCAGATTGAACACCAATGAAACCAAAAAGAAAGAGCATTTTTTTTTCTCTTAAAGTTAAGACCACATTGGCCACGTGGTGCTTCGTTGAAATTGAAAAACAGAACTATACAGTAAGGATGAATGCAGCTTTCATTCAGCTATCTGTAATTTAACTTGTCGAATTAATATCATTGTTTCTGTTGCTTTTATAATCTAAACAATGGAATATATAATCTGTTAGTAGTATTAGAAGCTATAGAAGCGATTTTTTTTGTTGCTTTCTCCTCGATTTTGAATTCATATTTGCCTTTCTCATAGACTGGCTGCCAGCCAAGACTACTGTGCCTAGTGTAACCTGCTATTTAATATGTAGCCGCAAGAGGAGAAATGAGCTCATGCCTTTACTAATGGTATTCGTGTAAAAAAAAATAATGTAACCGACTAGAATCTGTTCGCCGATTCTATAGTCTGGCTATATCTAAAACTCTAATGATCTTTGTTAATTATTGTTTTCTCTTTTAACAGTCCAGTTTAAAACTCTGTCGAATCTCTAATCTTTAACTTAATCTCTAATTTCTCCTTCTCTTCTTATATTGGCCACTAAACATTACTTACCCAACATCAATTCACACGCAGACATAAAGAGATAAATTTAGGAGTAAAATCAATTCGGAATTGATATCTACATCAAGAAAAGATTTTCATAAAATAATTATTTCTCTTCTGGTATTTCGAATGTGATTTACCTAAAATCGTAAAATAAAAATAGGAATAAAATAATAGCAAAATGTCTAAACAAAAAAAAAAACAAAAATAAAACAACATTAGCAACAAGAAAAACAAAACGAAATACCAAAATGTTTTAAGTCTTTGACAAAGAAATTATTTCTTTACAAAGAATCCTTGATTACACTTAAATTAACTTCAAAACCAATTCCAAATTTTTTTTAATCTTAGCCAAAAATAAGTTGGAAGACAAATTTCCTTTACAAACAGCGAATCTTTGCTTTTTGTCTGTACAAATCACACTTAAATTAACCATAAACCCAATTCCACATTTTTTATAACCAAGAAGAAAAACCGAGGCTTTACAAACACCAAATCCATGGCGTTTGTCTACACAGATTTATTTACAACTCAATTCCACTTTCTTCTTTTTTTTTTTTTTAACAAAATCGAACCAGAAATTTAACTCCTTCACCTTGGAAGAAATTAATCGAACACAAGAATCACTTTAAACATTTTTCTTCATATTTCCCCCGACCCACCCACTAGCATGATTGATAACGATCTTATGTGCATGCTAACATCCGTTACATCAGTTTTGTTTTAACACCTTTAAGTTTTCAGGTCAATGGTCTCTGATTACAAAGAGCAACTGGTTTCGAGGTTTTAAAAATATATCATATATATATATATATACATAATATATATATTCATCAATTCCTCTGAGATAACGAGTTAAACAAAATAATGTATGCACAATATACATTTCGATATTGTCAAACCACAAGGATGCATACAAACGGAGTCTTTCAAAGATCATCAAGTCTACGTACAGGATTCATTTTTTTATTTTTCTGTAATTTCTAACACTTTCTGTGCTAATATTTTAATTTACATTCATTACTTATACTTTTGTATATATGTTAATATTTTTGTGATATAAAAGTTATTGATCCCTGATTGTATGTAGGAAAACAGAAAAAAATAATCAGAATCGATTTTTGTAAGTCGATAATTTATAATTTTCACTGATAATATGTTACGTCCATTTATGTTAATTCTGTTTCCATTGCTTGTCTCCATAAATTTACACAACTTATTTGGACGGACTCTTGTCCGTCTGGGCGTGTATAATTTATACAAATTCGTGCGCGTCTTTACGCTTGTAGAAATTCTTGAGTGCGAACACATTTGAATAAAATGGTCGGCGTCCAACATGGCTGACTCGATCTCGTTTTGTTTGTGCAATAAGTCCGCCATTTTTGTCACTTGTGTTTCTCTCGAACAGTTCACAGTAGCAAACGACCGCCTTGAGTTTGTAGGCTTATACACGCATCGTTATATACCCCTGCCGTTTGTTCTACTACATTTTTATTACCACCAACCCTTTGTTAATACACGGACTATCTGCGACTTACCTTTTTTTCTTAAAAAAATAATGTTAAAACACGCCCTAAATAACATCGGCAACTAAAAAAAATTCATCTTTACAACCAAAAATCTATATACTAACTATTTCTACGATTCGCTCTCACTGAAAATCGTAAACCTACTAATGTTTATTTCTCTTCAAGTAATAACCACATTTACTTGTGAAGATGTCATTCAAGAATGAACAATCACTTCACAACAAAACAATTAACTAAACAGTTCAAATATACTGTAAGCAAAATCGGTTGGACATAAGATATATGTATATCAAAAATGTATATAAATAGTTTTTCTCTTTTAATCTTTTCTATATTTTGATCCTAGAGAACGTCTTCGTAAAACTAATGACACCATAATGAAAACTTTAAATGTAAAATAACATGGAAAAAATCTAAGAAAATTTCTACAGATTTTATAATTAACAAAATGTTTTCTTTGATTTGGGAAACATTTCGCCTTATTCTTTTTTTCCTGGCAATTATTTGTCGACGATGAACTAAAGAGATAAGTTTTAATGACGTCTGCTTTCGCGATAAGCCAATTCTTATTTGATTCTTTGTAGAATTGGCACCATCGTGATTTCCATCTCGTATATTCCAACCATCTTGTTTACAGAGCTGATTAATGTTTTTAATGGAAACATTTTATTTAACCAAAAACATGTATAAAAATTAAAAACTTATTTTATTGTGATAAATAGTAAGTCTTAAGGACAATTTCTAAATATTAGACTTTGCTAATCACATTTAAAATCATTTAAATTTAAAATTACATAAACATTTTCGTAGGGGTACAAAATTTTATTGGAGCAATATAAAGAAACATACTAAAAAACATTCATAACAAAACAAAAAGAAACGATTCATAATCGTGGGGTAGCAAAACGTATATTACCGTAAATTGATAATACCGAAATATAACGATTAAAAAACGGTAATATATATATATATAGGAGGCACGGTGGAATAATGGATAACGGCTTGGATCCAGTCGAATCCATTAAATTCACTTACGTGCTCATACTCTTGGGACAGGTATGAATCCTCTTCTTCTCCCTCCAGCTATGGGTAAATAGCAGAACAGACCGGGTTCTACAGCCTTGGATGGCAACTGGTCTACCGCAGAAAGAAATGGCAACTTACTGCGGAGAAAAAATCTGCCTCGTCAGTCATGTATCGAAAGATACCTGATCGCCTAAGCGTGTATCACGCATGGCACATAACTGACTGAATATATATTTTTTACCCCTCTTTTTTGTTATGAACGTTCTTTTAGTACGTTTGCTTTATTTCCCCTAATAAAATAATAGTAAAAAGTAACAACGTGCCAAAAAAAAAAAAAAAAATTTTGCTTGCTTCTTTCATTTTTTTAATATTTTGTATTTAGTTTCCAAACGATCTGTCGCTTGTTTACATCCATTTTGCCAAATGATTGCTAGACATTAAATCCATAAACAAAATGTCACAATTATTGTTCTTGAATTAGTTATGTCTCCAAAACAAAAATGAATAAAACGTATTAAAAGAAAGAAATTATAGCAGTATTTGTTTCGCCCACAAAATTACAAATAGTTTGCTAATTATAACAAAGATTAGAAAAATAATTATGAATAATTATAATAATTATAAGTTAAATATGCTTAAGGAATAAAGCAGAAAATGCTTTTTTATCTTTCGATAAACAATGATCTAAGATGAATGCTAAAATGTGAAATGTACAATGTTAATATCTATCATGGGGGCAATAAAAATGAAATTCTCAGAAGATGAATAGAAATCATTTAGAAAGAGATCCATGTGAACATTAACTTGTAAAAAATCGTCAACTAAAATTTCATCCCAAAGTAAAAGAAAAATAGAATAAAAATAAGGGGGAAAAATTCAAAATAAAACTGACAAATGCTAAAAATACAAAGATAAAAATAAATTAAAAGGTCAGCAAACAGTAAAAAGAAAAGAAAATAATAATTAAAAATGGCGCCAAAGTTATCGCATATTTTTCCCCCAATTATAGCTACGTTAGTTAAAAAACTTAATGTCAGGGCGCAGATCGCTGTTAGGTCGTATGTTTGTCATTTCTTTAGAGCATTTCTTTAAACGCTACTTTACTTTATTCCAGGGTAAATTTATCCGTATCCACTTCGGCACACAAGGTAAAATTGCCGGTGCTGATATTGAAACCTGTAAGTCAAACATTTTTTCATACTTTGTAAATATCTATCTATCTATCTATCTATCTATCTATCTATCTGTCCATATATCAGTCAGTTTATATCTACCTCTGTTCATATCTATCTATCTATCTATCTATCTATCTATCTATCTATTAACTACAGCCTGTCCATATTTATCACAGTTGTTTTCATATCTAATTGTTAAAATATAAACTGTACATGAATTTAATGTAAATTCGTAACGCCCAAATCTTAGTGTCTATATATTTATTAATATACTTTATTTATAATCTGAAATTCTTGTATTTTTTCATATTGACGTCAAGCTTTCTGAATAAATAACCAAATTGTGATTTTGTTTCTTCCGTTATTTTAAATGTGCTAGTGGAAGTTAGTAACTTAACTATTCATTATCCTTAATTTCTCTCTAAAAATTGTCAGCGTTTGTGCATCCATGAGGTAAAGAGTTTCAGTTGCCTTGCACTTTCAAAGCAAAAAAGGTTAGATCTTACAACCGCTATTAAGTGTTGCTTTATCAAATTGTGGGAGAGACTATGCACCCTTCTGTTTTAGGAGGTGAACTAGTTCACGTAAATTTCCTAAGAACCGTTCAGCATTTTTTTAGACCTCGCACAGATCGCTGAATTCGCGTTTTGACTGAAAGGACGATAGAATTAAACCTTTTCAGTGAAGCTTTCTTTTATTTTTATTTTCTTTCCCTGTCACACTAATAAAGAAATTGTCTTTGATTCTATTCTTTTCGCAGATTTGCTGGAGAAATCCCGTGTCACCTTCCAGCAGTCCGCAGAAAGGAACTACCACATCTTCTATCAGCTTCTCTCACCTGCTTTCCCCGAACTCATCGGTAAGTTTCGACCGATCGATTTCCTTTCATCCCTGTTTTTTTTTTTTTTGCTTCACTATTTAATTACTGAAATTTTCCATTCATATTTCTCGCTAAAAACGACACACTCAACACTTACTTCGCTTTCCTCACCGTTCTTTCTTTTTTTGCCCCTTACAGAGAAAATCCTCGCCGTTCCCGACCCCGGTCTTTATGGATTCATCAACCAGGGTGCCCTTACCGTTGATGGTATTGATGATGAGGCTGAGATGAAACTCACCGATGTAAGTTATGTCTACCTTTCATAATTAGTTTCATAGTAATTCCGAAAACTATGCTTTGAAGGAATCAAAATCTTAATTACAAAGCAGAAAAGGATATCGTTATTTTTAATACATCCATTTTTAAACCACGTATTTCATCATTTTATTTTTGAAAATTATTTAACAATTTTAGAATCATATGCTATTCGCATTGTCACCAGACATGGCTCTCATGGCTTCTCATCTTAACTGATTGGAGGTGCCAAAGTGTAAATGTTTTGTCCCGGTGAATTAAAATGAGCTACAGTAAAAATCCTGTGCAATATTATAGCTTTCCTTGTCCATTCATTGGCCTTTAACAGTGGACATGTTGCTGGAGGACATATAGTAAAATGTCAAGCTCATGGCTCACTAAATTGTGGCATTGGGGGTATGGCACTGGGTAAAAGTAGTAACCCAAGAACAAGGTTGGCACTTTTTTATGTAATCTATGGTCATAAAAAAGTCCAAGTAATTATAAAAATCAGAAATTATATATATATGTGTGTGTGTGTGTGTGTGTGTGTGTGTGTGTGTGTGTGTGTGTGTGTATATAAATATAAATAAATTTATATATGTATAATTATTTATATATTATATGCGCGGTACATATTAGAAAGTCACATCTATCCAACCAAATATATATATATATATATGTGTGTGTGTGTATTCAGATATAGAATCACATTTAAGATCGCTCAATAAAACTTTTAAAATCCCGGTCTTAGCATGCTCCCCGGTCCGACGACTATCACTTTCAAGTAGAGGAAAACCAGAACAGTGTTGAAGGAATAATATAATTCTGTGGTTACCAACTAATTAGTAACAGACAGCAGATAAGCTTTGTTGAAGGTCGTAAATAAATGGCGGGAAATAAGTCCTATTAGTTTGCAGTCTGCAGCAGCTGGAAATAAAGATGAACGAATCACGTTCATTTGTTACAATTATTTTTCTAAATGCATCTTTTCTTTTCTTTTTCCTTATTTAATTCAGACCGCTTTTGACGTCTTGGGCTTCAGTGATGATGAGAAACTCTCCATGTACAAATGTACTGGTTGTATCCTTCACTTGGGCGAGATGAAATGGAAGCAGAGAGGTGAACAGGCTGAGGCTGATGGTACAGCTGGTAAGTACTTCGAACTATCGAACACGCCTTCCTCTAAGTAATAATGCTTTTGTCTTTTCCTGTCTTCAAAGTTGGCTGTACGCGGAAAACGTTCAACTTTTAGTTATCAAAAATTATAACATAAGCATGTTATAACATTACTACATAAATACCTATTTTGTTTCAACAATTCTGGTGTGTTGTCAAGTGATGGTGTTGATTACAAAAAATGTTTATGCTTATGTTATAATTTTTGAATAGATATTATAATATATATATATATATGTATATATATATATATATGTATATATATATATATATATATATGGGGGGGAGGCTAAGATAAAGAACAATTGGAAAGGTTTATCACTCTAACACGTAACACTTTTATTAAAGCTTCGTCAGAGAGTGACATATGTAGAAAAAGAGATAAATTTGATAATATATATATATATATACATACTGTTCGTCCGTGTATTGAATATTGATGCCATTGTTTCCCCTGCTATATATATGAGATAACGATATATATTTTTATGTATCAAGAACAGTATTGGGGAAACTGTATGATAAAGTGGAAAAAGTTTATTTGTGACGTCACGAGTAAACTCCCCCCATATATATATATATATATATATATATATATATATATATATATATATAATCCTGTTATCTTCGGCATCGCAGTCTTTGAACATCATTTGTCTTTTATGATCGAATATCAGACTCTCCTGTAGCGTTTCATTTAGCTGTTAAGTGAGAGGCAGACATGGCAATAGATGTTGTATGTACCGGCCTGTCCTAAGGGTTTTGATGATTTGCCACTTGAGAAATTGTCTTAACCGGAGACTGCCATTACATCATGGTTGGCATCACAATTTCGAAAGATCATTGGTTTTCTGTGAAGAATCAATCTCTAGTGATTGATTTATTGATTTGTTTTATACGGCCTATCAACTTTATTGAAAACCAGAAAAATATTTTTGGATTATAAGATTTCTTTTTGTGGAACAGGTGATAATAATGATTTACTGATACAAATCCTACTAATTAATCCATAGCTGATGAGGGAGGGAGCGAATATAACGAATCCGACTAAATTGGAAACTGCAGAGCTAAGTTCCAATTCGGAGCCGTTATCCATTACACCACCCGCGCATCCAACCTTACAGCACCTGATATTTCCAAGCGATCACCCATCTAGGTACTGACTAAGTTCGACGTTGCTTAACTTCGGTGACCGTACCAGAGCCGGTCCTGAAGGAGCATAGCACATAGAGAAGAAGACTCAAATACCCAATTTATGTAAGCATGTCTTTCCATCTGTTATGTCTGAATACACGACGACGTCTAGATTCTAAATTCTTTCTCTCCGCTCCCAGAAAATTAACAGTAAAATTCTATTGGTCGAATTAGGCAACTAATTAAAAATTAGCTGATTGAATACCCTATGCATTCGATTTCCATTCTGTCGAGGTTTTCTCTGAATCATTTCTTTGCTTTTCCGTCTTACAGAGGCTGAAAAGGTCGCTTTCTTGTTGGGTGTCAATGCTGGTGACTTGTTGAAATGCTTGTTGAAACCCAAGATCAAGGTCGGCACTGAGTATGTAACCCAGGGTCGTAACAAGAACCAGGTAAATATACTAATCAGAAATTATAAATACTAATCAGAAATTATAAATACTAATCAGAAATTATAACTATAAAATTCCGATTTTAGCAAGCTCCCTGGTACAACTGTCACTTTCAAGACAGTTCGATCTATTATCTCATTATAAAATGGATGATAAAATATATGAAATACAGGATAAAATATATGAAATATAGGATAAAATACATGAAAAATATATGCTATAACTATTATGTATTATAAAATCTACAGAAATTATACCAATAAAATTATCGAAAAGATTATTTTTATATTGAAAATATAACCTTAATAATGAGCCAATATAACAAAATTTAACAAAATATTGTTCAAATAACGATTATATTAATGAATATAAAAGAAAACAATCTCTTCGACACTATTTTTTTAATGATAGGGTCTATGTATTTTCCTATATTTACATGTTTAATATAAAACAACGTTGAAAGAAAAAAACAAAAAACTCCATGAAATCAATTTTGATGATCTTTCGAACATTGTTCTGACATTTCTTTTGTCTCCTTTCCCAGGTCACCAACTCCATCGCTGCCTTGGCTAAGTCTCTGTACGATCGTATGTTCAACTGGCTGGTCAAGAGAGTCAACCAGACTCTTGATACCAAAGCCAAGAGGCAGTTCTTCATCGGTGTACTGGATATCGCCGGTTTTGAAATCTTTGACGTAAGTCTTTCATTTTTTTTTAATTCTCACTTACAATATTCTTTCATAGTTTTCCCATTCATTGTAATGGCGACTAACGAATAAACTTAATGGCGACTAACGAATACATTTAGAAAATAAATTCAAAAACTTTATTTGATATCAGAAAAATTGTCTGCCACAAATATAAAGCATTATGGACTTCATTAAGAACACTTCTGATTTATAAAACCTAAACCCGTGTTAACAAGCTTGTAGAACGATAAGTGAAAGTTGTTAAAAACAATGGCGACTATGTATTTAACTAATAAATATTTTTTGTGAGTATGTAAAAGTTTAATTTATTATTCGGGCAGGAATTTTACAATGATCTAATATTTACAAATAAATAATTAGAAAATATCAGTTTAATTTCATTTTTACATAAAAATATATAAAAATACTCTTCTTTTTTTTTAATAAATATATTATTTCATGGTAACATTATTTTATGAATCAATTTTTCATATTTTCTTATCAGATAACGACAGAAAAATCAATTCATTATTATCAGGGTGGACGCGAACATAAATCTCACATTATTTTTTTTATTAAATATCAAGCTGAATTAGAAAATTGTTTATTTAAATCACAGTATGTTTAAATGTATTTTCCTACCCTAAATCTTTCTACGATATGATGTATTTTACCTACAAACAAAAATCGGTCCAATTCTTATAAATACTTGATTTTTTGCTTTATTTTTCTGATTACAGTTCAACAGTTTCGAACAGTTGTGTATCAACTACACTAACGAGAGGTTGCAGCAATTCTTCAACCATCACATGTTCGTACTTGAGCAGGAAGAGTACAAGAAGGAAGGCATTGTTTGGGAATTTATTGATTTTGGTCTTGATCTGCAAGCTTGTATTGAGCTGATCGAGAAGGTAATTTTGTTAGACATTTTTTTTGTTTATCCAAAGACGATAATACCACTAAGACACAAGGGAGGGAGGGAGGCAACTGGAAGTGAAAGAAAAGAAAAAAATTTTTTAGAAGAATCCGGAAACCCAATATTAAACAAGACCAATAGATAAACCTCTACTCCTGTCCAAAATACCGGCGAGGATTCTGTATTGTATTGTATATTGTATTGATGCGGCATTCACCCTGGGCGGATTGAGCCGGCTTCTTCCTGTTGTGAGAAGAAGATTCTTGGGATAAATTACAGAAGTAGGGTACCCAGGCCTACTCGGATAACGTTCTTGCTTGCCGCGGGGTTCCCACAGACGCAGAGACAGGAACGACCAGAAGCCGCCGGTTGCCGATGCAGACGCTCCTTGGATTTTCACCAGAGCCCTTGTTAGCCGGCGTGTGTGCCAGACCTGTCCGCCTTGGGTGGCCCTACCAGGAACGAAGTTCCGGACGGCATAGCTCTGACACTACCGTTTACACCCTCCACCGACCGGGAGGTAAGGGGTTGGACTTTGGGGGCTTACAGTACCAGGTGTTCCCAAGCGGTCCCCCATCTAAGTACTGACCTGGCTCTACGATGCTTAACTTCGGTGATCGAACGAGAACCGGTGTTTTCAGCGAGGATTCTGAACCGGACGATATCGCCAAAATCTAACTTATACGCTTTTAAATTCGTCCGTTTATCGAATATTGCTGCCACATCTAGTCTGGTGCTTCTGCCATGTGTCTAAAGTTTCTTGATAAAATCCAAAGAAGAATCGCCAACGTTATCGTTCCTAATCTAGCATCGCCGCTTCAGTCACTTTCCCACTGCCGTACCGTAATTTCCCTTTGCCTCTTCGGTAAATAATTTCATGACAGTTACCCTGATGAGCTCTCCTCTTTGATACTTTGACTTTATAAATGGGCAGCTAGATCTCATAATCTCACTGTGGAAATTGCTAGTTGTAACCGTAAGTCCTATGCTAATAGCTTCTTCTCTCGCGTGTCTCGCTTGTGGAATTCTCTTCTGGTTCCTTACTTTTCTATCAACTACGATTGTCAAAAGGTTAAATGCGGTGTCACCAGTTATCTTTTATCTCCTGGAATACTCTTCTTTTATTGTCCTTTCTGTTTCTTTCACTCTCAGCACCCCTCGTATCCTAGTGGTTGCGTTGTTTGGGGTGAAATAATTAAAAAAAATACATTTAACGGCTAGTCTTCATTACTAATCAAATAATTAAAATTAATTTTAATTTAAATTATCTTGGCAAAGCTAGAGAAATATCGTAACTCAAGCACTCTTAAATTTGGAAACTATTTGTACATAACACAAACTACATTTGATACGTAACAAATAATATATCTCGTTTGTACCGATAAAACAGATGTATTTTTAATTCTAAATCAGGAAGTAAAACATGGAAAAATTGAAAAGCGAATGTAATAATAATAATAATAATAATAATATAGAATTTTGGAAACATTCTTCGGAATAAATCTTTAAATCACTTTGCTCATGTTGTTCGTATTACTAACGTAACCGTTTCTCTTTTCTTTTTCAATTTATCATCTTTTCTCAACCATAGCCAATGGGTATCTTGTCCATCCTTGAAGAAGAGTGCATGTTCCCTAAAGCCAGCGATACTTCCTTCAAGAACAAATTGTATGACAACCATCTTGGCAAGAACCCAATGTTTGGCAAGCCCAAACCACCAAAGGCAGGCTGTTCCGAGGCTCACTTCGCTTTGCATCATTATGCTGGCAGTGTAAGTATCAATGAAGTGTCTATTTAACAAATTTAATAAAGTGTTAATAACCTGTCTTATTCTTAACCGTATTGTTGACTCTTTCCAATTTCTCTTAGCCTATAACTGTTCTGATTTGGTGTGTCTTTCTCTCTCATTCTAATAGGTGTCTTATAACATTGAGGGTTGGTTGGACAAAAATAAGGATCCAATCAATGAAAACGTCGTCGAACTGTTGCAAAGCTCTAAGGAACCCATCGTAAAGATGTTGTTCACACCCGTCGGTAAGTGACAGTTATATTTCTATAATGAAATCTTTTCTTTCGTTTAGATTCTAGAATCGGGTCTTCGGGTTTTCAGATCTTCCAATCTGACATCTGAGCGATACGTTCTGAAGTCAGTAAAACTCAAAAATGGATTTGATTTAGTATTTGATATCTTGGATCTTGTACCCAAATATTTCTATGCAATATATGTATAGGAGATCATCTATAATGTTATAAAGGCTTATAATAAATACTTTTTAAATAACTAGTAAAGCGGTGCCATCAAAAATGACGGCAATTGTTAGAAATTTTTAATACTGAGATACAATGAAACAAAAGTTTTGAAACAATGTATTGAGATTCAATAAAGTGGAGATCTAGAGGCCGCAAAAAAAAATAAAGGTCAAAGAACTGTAATATCTTAATTATAATTTATTATATAGATTTCTTAGACATAGTAATAACTAAATTCTAATTTATTGTATAGATTTCTTGTACATAGTAAGATTGGAATTATAATTTATTATATAGCTTTCTTTTACATGGTGAGATCGGAATTATAATTTATTATATAGCTTTCTTATACATAGTAAAATTGGAAATATAATTTATTATATAGCTTTCTTGTACATAGTAAGATCAGAATTATAATTTATTATATAGCTTTCTTGTACATAGTAAGATCGTAATTATAATTTATTATATAGCTTTCTTGTACATAGTAAGATCGTAATTATAATTTATTATATAGCTTTCTTTTACATAGTAAGATTGGAATTATAATTTATTATATAGCTTTCTTGTACATAATAACATCGGAATTATAATTTATAATAAAGATTTCCTGTCTATAAGATCGTAATTTATCAATTATAATTAGTAAACATAAGTTAATCCTCTAATAACTTGAAATTATAAGTATATTTTATTTTCCATCTTTGTAGAGGATCCAGCACCTACTGGCGGTAAGAAGAAGAAGGGCAAGTCTGCTGCCTTCCAGACCATCTCTTCTGTCCACAAGGTTAGTTACAATTCCATTTATAGATCATTTATATATATATATATATATATATATTTAGATACTTAGTTTAGAATTTTTTTTAAATAACTCTTATACATGAGAGAGATTATTGAAACTAAATTACATGTACCATTCATAGAACGTAACTCGTTCATAGATATTTCTTTTTCATCCGGCCGTACACTCCTCCTCCTGGAGTATGCAACCATGAAACCAAGATGGCACTGCAGCTTAAATACTAAATAGTTTTTACTGAGTGGATTTGTCAGACGCATGCCTAAAAAAAATTGAATTCCCTATTCTCCTTCTCCTCGTCTCGTTGCCATCCATGGCTAGAGAGGTCTGCTATTTAACCAATAGCTGCGGAGAAATATGGATTCTTCTTCTCTCAAGAGCTTTTGTGCGAAATGAACGCAAAAGACAGCCGGAAACATGGCCGGTACACTTTATTGAAATTTCTATATACTAGAATTCTTTAGAGGTTTTCAATGATTGAGCCTCATTTACAGCTGATTGATATATATTTATTGGTATCTACCTTAAAATGATTTATTCTCATTGCTGATTGGTTGCCATGTTAGTAACTAAAATATATTATCTAAAATTAGGAATACCGAAAAGTAATGTCGTTTTTATTTTAGGAAAGAAAAACATGTTTTACCAGGTAGCATTTATTGTTTAATTAATTAATCGTCATTGTTATTTGACGCAGGTGTCCATATTGGAACCATTTTTTCATTTCCTCTTTTATAAATTTTCTGATTGGAATCTGGTACCGAAACTTTGGAAAACTACTGTTGCATTGTTACCCAGAATACATAGAACATAAAATGTTCAATATCATTCTCTTCAATTGGTTTGCCGCTTAGTTTGTAAGATAGAACCTAGAGAAGCAAATATTTTCCCGACTGGAAGAAGAACACGCAATTCATATGGACGTCTTTCAGTTGTGTTAAATACCCACACAAAAAGTAACCAAAGACATTACTTTCCGGTACACCTAATATATAAAAGTTATAGTAATTAATCATTAATTTCATATAGTAATTAATCATTACGATCATGAGGAAGAGATATAAAAAAAGACTTTAAATGCTTTCACCATTGAGGTGTGGTTACTCGGGCTCAAACTCGGAACCAATTTGTTTTGTCTTTTTTAAATATGTATATTTACATTGTACTGGATGCTGACTGGATTTAGTCTGCCATCGGTCAAATTCAATCCCGAAATATTAATTTTGAAACGAGTAAATATTAATAGTTTAAAATCTTGTCTTCATGAAAGACGGTATATAATTTCTTCTCTTATTAGATAGTTTTATCTCTTCCTCTAAATTTTGTCATCGTTTTCTAGTTTATTATTATTAATAATAATATTGTCATTATCATTATTAATTTTAAAAGTTACCAATGATAGAATGTGTGTTATTTTTTGCTGTGTTGTTACTAACTATATTTACCTGTTTCTATCTTGTAGAAGAAATGGTTCTCCTTCCCTCTTCCGTCTCTCCTTTATTTTTATTTATTTATTTATTTATTTTTTACTTAATTTCTTTTCCCCATTTATCTTCACCAATTCCATCCAAGACTTGTTCTTTGGTCAACCTGTACTTTGTAACGCTTTCATCGATGGATGTTTGGATTAATTTGCTTAAAATTATGCTTCCTATTCAATGCTGAAATATTATATTATCTCAATAATTCTCGTGAAATTATTGAGCTTGTCGAATATTTCTTCCCGTAGAAGAAGCTGATCGCCAATTTACAAAAGAATGAATTCTGGGCAAGTTTTGGGCAGTCATTTCATTTCATAGGTCGTGAAGAATACAGCGGTAAAATCCAACTGATAACCGCTTTGGCTTGCCATCTGAGATTTAAACTCCATTAAAAATCATTGTCGACTGCCATTCTTTGTTTTAGACATTAGTATCAAGATTGAATTACAAGTCGAAACGTCTCAGCCAACTCCAGATCTGCTAATCCAGAAGCATCTCCGCATATTGAGGTCCTCTATTAGTATGAGTATACATCACCGGCTTGCTAGGCCTGTCGCATGGCTAACAGCGACTGACATTTGCCACTTGTCACCGATCTGAGTTCTAACCAGGCTCAACGCTAACTTTAGTGATCGGACGAAAACTTGTGTTTCAACGTGATATGGCCGTCATTCAAAACTATTTAATAATAATAATCCCAGGTGTTGTTGGAGCCCTCGGATTGATTGGAAAAGGTTCCGATAGATTCACTGAAGGGATTCCTGGAAGCCCATGCCTTAAAGAAATACAAAAAAAATGTACTCACTACTACAGCTTACACATTACGAAGAGCTTGATCTATGTAAAATGCGTGTGATCTTTTTTTTTTTTTTTAACTAATTTTTTTACAGTGGAAAATGTTGTGAAGTCATTTCTGACCTTAGGTCTCTGGTTTGGACCCGGAAAGAAATGTGTATACATCAGAAACCAAAGGAAATAAAATAATAATAATAATAATAATAATAATAATAATAATAATAATAATATTGCTGAACACATCTCACAGCTACAAATGATTACTTCGTGTGGAACTGAATGTCATTAGGTAAACTGTCTCCATCTAAACGAAACGTTCCAAATGTGCATAGATAATTCTCCAACTGTGCCCGTTTTACTCATAGCAATAATACAAGTCATAACAAAAAAATCTGATAAATTAAATCGCCTACTGATAAACATGAAAAGCAGATAGATCCATCCATCGATGAATGTAATTGATTAAAAGCTGAGATTTAGGTCGGTAGTACGAAAATTAATTGATAGAAATAAATAACATTCTGACAATAATCCTAAAAAAAAAAAATCAACATTTATTTAAATTAAAAAAGATATATAATTAGAATTTTAATTTTAATTTTTGCTTAATAAAAGAACTATCGACCCGAATCTTATCTTACTGACAATGAATATTATTTGTTATTAACCGTACCTGATGGCGTATAAAACTGTTTCCCAGTAAAAGATGATTCTGAATACCTCCCAAGTTTTCATGAAAAATGAGGTATCTTTTAGGCTAACGTAGACGAAACATAACCTAAATCAAAATGTACATATACAAAACACACACACAATATATATATATATATATATATATATATATATATATAAAAAAAGGTAACTTTAAAATATAGAATAAACTGCGTAATTTGTACAGATAATTTATGGATACCATATATACTGTAGTATTCTATAATTTAACGTATGTCGAGGTGAGCAGAATTTTGTCGATATAGCGCTCAATAAATAAGTAATAAGTATTGTTACCAAACATGAAAAGGTTTAAGGCACTTATCAAAGGCCGACTTAAAGTTTTTCTCGTCAAGGTCCAGACATGATTATTGTATTAATTATTAGCAGAATTAGAATAATATAAAGATAATTTTTATACTAATAAACGTATTAGGATCCAATAGCTTAGTTCATAGATCCGAGCAGCTGGGCGACCCGCACAATATTTGTCTATAGAAATGAAGACCTGTGTGCAACCAAGCCCACTCTTCGGAAGAACTGAAAGGAACTGTTGTACATAGTGTGCCAAGAGATTTTCAAACGCCCTTCCTCAGGCGTGGAATTCAGAGTTGTTCCTCTCCCTGTTGCCAACCAAGGCTATAGAGTCCAGTCTGCTCTGCTATTTGCAGCTGAGGGTGAAGAGACGCTTTGATACCTTTGACAATTTGTCATTTCCAGCCACTATACATAACACCACCGTTCATATATATATATATATATATATATATATATATATATATATATATATATATTGTGAGAGAGCACAGGTCATACTGAAAAAAGCCGATCTATACATAATCACTTCAAGTAGTAAAATATTAAATGTATATGGGTGGTTTTTATATGCCGTCAAATACGATATATTTTTTTTTCATATTTTGTGATTACAAGGAAAATACTTTTGGTTGGATTAGAAACAGAATGCACCCATGTCGAATAGATTATCGATAAATAGATTATCGATAAATAAACTAAATCTGAGTAATTTATTTTCTATCGAACCTTAAAAGAATAAAGAATCGACATCAGCGACTTTGATATTTTATGGTTTCAAATAGCGACCAAAAGTGACATCTATTCTCAAAAACGAAAAGAAATGTTCATTATTTGAAATATTATAGCAAAGACACCCTTGGCGTCATTGCAGCCTGAAAAACAGTCTTTATTTATTTATTTTACTAGTTTTTCTTTTTAAATTTATTATAAATGAAATCCATTAAATTTTTTTTATTTTAATTTCTGCGGAAGGCATTCTGGTTTTTAATCCAGTCCTAAACAGAGAATAAAGATTAACGTTTTCAAAAACATGATATTGTCTCTGCAAAAAAAAATTCACCATGGCTTCAGTTCACGAAATTAAATTTCTTGTTTCTACAGCCATGATAAGCAATCGGTTTTCTCTCACCTTTATGCTTCGCCATCAAGTGTTTGATGAAATCAATTGCTTTGTTATATTAATATTTTTCCATCCTCTTTTTTATTGATTCTAATTTATACATTTACTCTTCCCGATTGACAAAATAATATTGATTCCTTTTGTATTACAGTAAACCGGTGAAATATCCGAGTAATATGCCCAAAATATAATGTTTTTGTACTTTTCTTTCTTTTGTTTTACTTATATGCATGCACCCTTACACCAATTGTCTTGTTTTTTTGTATCTTTCATTTTATTTTATCTATCTATCTATCTATCTATCTATCTATCTATCTATCTATCTATCTGCATCCAGATTTTCTGTTGAAATCTTTATTGATCGGTAACATTTTATCTATCTAATAGCTACCTTAGCGTATTCTCTTTCTCTCTCTTTCCCACTTACACACACACGTACAAACACATATACACACAATATATATATATATATATATATATATATATATATATATATATATATATATAATTTTAGTATAAGAAAGAAACGCGTAATGAGTTAAGCAACAGTTAAAATTCATCTAGAAAACTCTAGAGATGAAGTTTGATTTGATTTAATCATATCTATCTATCTATCTATCTATCTATATATATATATATATATATATATATAAAGAAACGATCAGAGAATTAAAATGGAAGATTCATCATAGAATTTGCTTCCTTGGAATTGTCACTTTTGTTTTGAATCAGGTGACGATTACAGAACCAATCAAAATATTCATTCGTTTATAAAACTGAATTATGCCTTTGAATTGCGAAAATGTTTTAAAATGGCCTTTCTATTACATGCCTTGTAACGTATTTTAAAATTGTCACATGAAACAAATAGTACTCCAATCTGAATCCACAACTTTCACGAAGCCATCAGCAAGAGAAAATTCCTGTCCTTTATAAGTAAATAGTTCTTGGTCCTATCAGCTCTCCACAGATTCTTTTTCCTTAGTCCCCACGTAAGATCTTGTATCGTCCTCTGATCCAGTCGGTATTCAAAATAAAAACAATGAACCAGTAAAAATAATAAAAAATCAAGCAGTAGCCAACGGAGATCTGTCAGCACCTCCCTAAGAGGCAGCATAATTAGTATAACCTGGTACTTGTATTAGAAAGCGTGGGATCCAAGATAAAATTATTTACATAAATCGTTTAGTTCTTTCTTTACATTTTCTTTTCTTTTTTTTTTTTGTTCTTTCTTATTTCTTTCACTTCATCTTTTCTCTCTCCTCTTCTCTCTCTACACTTTTGCTTGTTTATCGATATATATATATATATATATATGTAAACGAGCCAAAAAAGGAAAAAGAAGTTGAAACTCAACTGGAATCTTTAAGAATATAAAATATTTAGAGTAACTTTACAGTTAGATACGCGACAAGTCATGACAAAGCTACACGTCTCTCCGTCTACATTTAACTTTTGAAAATCATGTTTTTGTTTTAGTTTTTCCTTCCGCTTGTGCGGTTAGGCGTCACGGAGAGACACAGTCGTCCGTCAGCGGCAAGGCGAGTGGCCTAGAGGAGGGATATCTCGTGGTCTCTGAGAGTGTCTGCCACTGAGTCGCTCCAGCATCTTCTTGGTCTTCCTCTCGCTTTCCAGCCAGAGTACCTGAGTGTGTATGCTCGTAGGGCTGGTTAGCTGATAGGCATACGAGTGAGGTGTCCGAACTACTTGACCCTCTGTCGTTCGATGTATTGTCTGATTGCTATTGCTCCTACCATATCTCTTATTGTCTCATTCCTGATCTTGTCTCGCCTGATCTTGTTCACTGCTTTCCTCAGGCATTTCATCTTACAAGTGATCAGTTTCCTCTCAAGGGGTTTTGTTAGGGGCTATGTCTGGCACTGGTATATCAGCGCTGGTTGGAAAATGGCGTTGATGAGAATTGGTGCTCATGGAAATGCTAGAATGTTTGAAAATCATAAAACTACGAAACCGGTAAAGTTACTCTAAATAAATATTCTTAAAACTTCAATTGCATTTTCAACTTGTTTTTCCTATATGTGTACCCGTGTGAGATATATAAATAAAAAAATAGTTTCTTATATATATATATATATATATATATATATATATATATATATATTGCTTGCCTTCAGATCATTTTTATTCACCGTTATACTTCTTGCTACTTTTTGTAAAATGTTCATTTTTGTTTTTCATTTGTAAAATATTCATTCATTTTTTATTTTTTATTTTTATTTTTTATTTTTTTTTGTTGAATGGTTTCATCCATTGCATGGTACATTTTTTTGTTGGCGCCTCCAAGAAGCGCATGTCCATATTTCCTGGGGCATGACTGCCTGATTTCCTAGGATTTACGATCAGAATAAATAAATAATCCTAATTTTTTTAGCCTTTGTATCTGCAACACGTGGTCGCTATTCTATGCTTTTAGGAATCCTTGAACAAGCTTATGAAAAACTTGTACAGTACCCACCCTCACTTCGTCCGCTGTATCATTCCTAATGAGCTTAAGACGCCAGGTAAATATTTTGGGCTTCGGCCGGAAAGTATTCCGCGTGGTTTGAAGTGTTTCCTCCCGATTATTTCTTTCTTTTTTTTTTTTTTTTGTGGGTAATACAAAAAAAATGGTTTGTCTCCCTTTTTATTAAAAAAAAAAAAATTAAGTAAACCTTATTTTCCTTTACTATCTTTTGAAGTCCTGCATGAATAGAGCTTTAGCAAAGAATGTTTTACGACACAGTGCATTTTGTTTATGACATCACGAACTGAAATTGCTTTCATCAACAAAACAATATTCTTTTAATGCATCTCGCAAAAAAAAAATGCTAAACCCGAAAGAAACAAATTTTAAAGCGATTTTTGAAATTGAGTAAACTTCGGTGTGAAATTCTTTGTGTGGTTTCTAATAACAAATTTCATATTTCGATTAAAAAAGATACAAAAAAAATATATACTTGGTCTTGTGCCCTGCTAAAGTCTATCATACCTATCATAGTCACATAAATTCTCGCAGTTTCTCGTTTTTTTAATGTCACTTTATGACGTAGACAAAGCTCTCCAGAGATTCAATTTCTTTATAATCAGTGAATTGCCATGACTTTTAAGTCCTTTCAGGACGTAATAGATCATGGCTCTCCACAGATTCCTGTTCTTTATAATCAATGAATTGATATGACTTCTTGTTCCATTCAAGGCCTAATCGATTATGGCTCTCCTGTTCTTTATAATCAGAGAATTGCTATGCATTCATGGAGTGAAGTTGCAGCTGAAAACAGCATAAAAGATTGCTTATGCAATAATATATTTTGCGTGAGATTAAAATAAAATATTCTGGCACAAGGGCACAATATTGCAGCAATAGATAATTTATAGATAAACCTTTTCGTCAAGGTCTGTACATGGTATATCTTTGGCCATGTTTAGTAAATATCTATGCCAAAAAGAAAATTCTGAAGTTTACTTAGCAAACACAATGCACTTGAACTCATATGCACAAAAAGAACAGTAAAAAAAAAAAAGAAAAAAAATTAGTTAACACATAGGTGCTTGTTGGACGAAAAAGAAATTAACCATTTGCCTCTTCTGGTCCTTTATATATAATAACCTCAATGTCTCTTCCAAATTACCTTTTATTTATTTCTCCTACTTAATTGTTACTGATGTTTTTGTGTGTTTTTTCCTATAATCTAATAATCATTTTTCTTTATTTCCTTTTAATGTTTTCTTTAGTTTGAACAGACAGACAAAAAAATAGGCGCTCGGAGACTCTAGAGTCTGTTATCGTTTGAAAGAATCATGCATTATCACATTAAACAATTGTCAATATATATATATATATATATATATATATATATATATATATATATATATATAATGTATATATATATATTATATGCAGATTGGTTTGAAGACGAAGGAAAGTTCGTTTTTTTTTTATGATTCTGAAAATTTTTCTCGTTTCCAATGAAGTTAAGTCACTCGAAAACTACCACAGAATCACAATATATATATAATTCGATCAACACTGAAAAGAATTCTTTAAAAATTGCACATCAAATCCGAAAGCAGTCAGAGGATGTTGGACAGCTGTTGTTCAAATTCTCCCCAGAAACGAGAAAATGGTCCGAACCGTAGAAAAATTAAATGAAAAAAAAAATAAAGAATTTTCGTTGATTATTCAGCCAATACTGCATATAAGAAAATTACTGCCCAAATACAGCTAGTATATATATATATATATATATATATATATATATATGTATGCATATATATATATATAATGTATATATATATATATATATATATATATATATATATATATATATATATAATGTAGATAGATAGATAGAGAGAAAGAGATTTTGAACAGTATATTTATTTTTTGTCTACCGGTTTGAATATAAATATCTGTCGGATTAATAAAGAAAATGCATTAGTTCTTTAGAAATTGCTTTGTTTATGTTTGGATACGAATCTGGTCAGTTATGAACTTTCGAGAATCTGGGACGAGAGGGATTGCGCTTAAGGGCACTATTCAGTCTTGCTTGATCGGCGGCACTCTTCCGAGCCGAGTCAATCTTAAGCACGTCTGTTCTTCCTGCAGTGAGGGTTGGGGGGGGGTCTCGCAGATTCGAATCCTGCCGGAAAGCGCATATTTTTCTTTAATAAGATTTCTCGAATTATCAGACCAGGACACGAAAAATAAATATACTGTTTAAAATAGACGAAGCGCCTACTTAAATATGGGGATCCACTAAAGATAACGTTAAAGTGATAAAAATTTGTTAGAAAAAAAAAAAAAAATGAAGAAAAGAAAAGACAGAAGGAAAACATTTCTTTACCAAAGTGATTTGTACCTTGAGGTACTTTTTCGGGATAAATGTGGAGATTTTATTTTGTAACATACATTTATAAACAGAAATAAATGGAAGGAAAAATAGCATAAAGTTTTCAAATTTTGAATTTGAAAACGGTCTAATAAGTTCTTAATGCTTGCTATACACAGGACAGGTAACCTATTTAGTACACTAAAGGATATGGTCTCTTATTATCTTTTTTCTCATATTCTCTGACATTCAGTAACCTCCTCGCGTCTTAGCTGCCTTATTGCCTAGCTTGGGGTGAAATGATTAAATCTCTCTCTCTCTCTCTCTCTATATATATATATATATATATATATATATATATATATATAAATATAAAATATATATATAAAATATATATATATATATATATATATATATATATATATATATATATATATATATTGGGATAAAATGATATATATATATAACAATAATGATGCATATCTTTAATGCCTAACAAAACGCCTTTTCCAGTAAATGGTCAATATTAACTTTTTAAAAACAGTGGAAAAATAGCAAATATATAAATTAGAAATATAGAAATTACTGTTTTAAAATGGACTAAAAATACTGGTATGAATATTAAAGAAAAGGTTTTTTGAGTTGGGATTTATCGAAGGCGCGAAATGAAAAAAATCATGTGGCAAAAAAAAAGCAAAAAAGAAAGGAACAAAAATGAAAACGATTCTTTCACTCAGTAACGCTCTTCTTACGAAGTTTTTGTCTGGAGATTTTGCAACTCGTCTTGTTTCTGTCATCTAACCATATATATTTATCTTTTTCTCCCATTGTGTTTTTTTTTATATATACCATAACCTTTTCTTTTCTTTTTCTTTATTTTTTCTTTTTCTTCTTTGCTCTACCATCAAATAATGTCGACCATGGTGTGTGTGGTCTATTCCTTTCTTTTTTTCTCTCTTTCTCTCTCTTTCTCTCTCTCTGTCTCTTTCCTGCTTTATATTTTTTTCTCTAAAAACGCATGGTGTGTTTTCCGTAGGAGTCCCTCAATAAATTGATGCTCCACCTTCGGTCTACAAACCCTCATTTTGTTCGCTGCATAATTCCAAACGAAAGGAAAATGCCAGGTAAGAATGTCAGTCAATGCGCGAGCCCCTTCAGAAATATTGACAGTATTTTATATTTTTTTAAAATTTGAATCAGCTATCATTAGATCATTATCGCAGCACCAGACAATCATGGCTCTTATGCCAAAAATCGGCCATCTTGGTTTTGAGTCGAATGTATTATTCTAACGAATGGTGTCTTCTTCTTGCACAATAAACTTTACAAATTTATCGAACATCTTCATCTACGTCGCTCACAGAAGTTAATTATTTTTTTATAATATCTCAATCTCTATCTAGTCTGGTTTGTATCTATCTCCCTGCTTCCTCTCACGTCATGTGTCCTGTCATCCACGAGAGTTTTGGGGACACCCCATGTACTGCAGCTATATCAGCACTGGATGTGTCTAGGGTATGATATCTCGTTGGTTTTAGATTCAGCGCTTTTCACCTGAAGGCATGAGAGATCGGTCACTTCTTCTGTTTAACCCATTGATGCGGGAGAAGAGATGGATTCATACCTTTTCCATGGGTATTTGTGTGAAAGTGAGCGTAACTAACTTGATCGGGATTCAAACTCGACTCGCTGATATTTGCTGCTGAGTCGCTATCTGTTGCACTTGTCGAACATAGCATCTACTTACATCTATCTATCGATCTATCTATCTATCTATCTATCTATCTAACTTAGTCTGTTCATTTCTATCTATCTACCTATTATAAAGTTAGTATAATGCACATAGTTGCTGGTTAAAAGGTTTAATCACATGAGAACACGTAGTTCAGTGCGACAAGCGTTTGATTGAAAGCCGCTACGCCTTTGCGACCCACTTTTTGCCACTAATCCATGAGCAGACGTTATACGCATAGCGGATGGACGAGTCCTTGTTTCAAAAATAATATTGAGAAGGTTAAACAGTCTATCTACACTGCATTATCTATTCTATTATACTTCTCTCTCTCTCTATCTATCTATCTATCTCTCTATCTATCTATATATCTATCTATTTATCTATCTATGTGTCACGAAACTTATGTACTATTCCTAATATTTTCCGTTCTATGTCTTGGATATAACACATCTTAAAAATATAGTAAAAAAGATGACTAACTATGAATAAAATCAAAAATTGTAAATAAAACAACGTAAGTTGTGTTTATTTTGAAGGAAAGATTTTAAAAAAAAGTTTCAACCAAAGCTTATTTGATATTAAATTTTCAAAGTTAACTTTAATATCAAATAAAAAATTTGTTTATTTCTGCTTAAACTAACCAACAATATCCTTGATCAATCTGTTAAAACTGACGCATCTCTTTCTCCCTCACCCACGCCACCTTTCTAGAACAGTGATTGTAGCTTTCTAGTTTATGTTTTGTAAAAGTCGCACTATTTATGTCAGTTTTAAAAATGTCACATTTGATACTTTCTGTGAAGAAAAAAAATAATACTAATTTTACAGTTATTATTCATTTTTCACTAGTATTTCTTTCATCTTCATTTCTCTTGCTTTTTATTGCAACTCTGAACATCTCGTTCTATGATCTTCAGTAAAGAGTAGCGATAAAAAGAAAAATTAGCGGAAATAATATGAAAGAAATACTTTTCAAGAATTGAATTCTTTGTCGCCTTCTCCTCGATGACTTTTGATAAGTTTGTATAAAATTGAAGATCCAGAGACATTATTTAAGAAAATGGAAATGGAAATCTTATGAAGACACATTTTCTCACAGAAATTTAAACTTCACTACCGCGTAGATAATTACGAGAACGGAATATAGATATTTTGTCATTTTGTAAATAGTATTTTGTATGAGTTTTGTCGACGCGTTTTCTTCGTTATTTGTATTGACGTATGACTGACCGTTTTTTCTTCTTTTCTTTTCCTCTCCAGGTCTTATTGATGCTGCTCTTGTGTTGCATCAGCTCCGCTGTAACGGTGTACTTGAAGGTATCCGTATTTGCCGTAAAGGTTTCCCCAACAGGATCATCTACTCTGAGTTCAAGCAGAGGTTGGTAGCAATAAAACTTAAAACTAAAATTGTAAATAATAGCTATTGTTACTTATATATATATTTATTACTTATGTATGAAGTATTACTTGAGCACTTCAGCGGAATGATTAGCAAGCTTGTCTAGCTAGATCAATTACGACTGTGTAGTGAGTTCGATCCTCACTAGGTGCTCCACACTTACGGCCTTGTGCCACATCTAAGCTACGCTTAGAAAATCATTTAGGCACTTTGACGTGGTGCAATGGTTAGCAAGCTTGTCTAGCTAGATCAAGTAGTGAGTTCGATCCTCACAGGATGCTCGATACTTACGGCCTTGTGTTGTACCTATGATTAGTAAATCACTATATATAGTATTATATATATTTTATAGTAAAAAGAAAGGACAGTAAGTTATTGTATTTCCTTGGAAACAAATATTATGAATGTATGTGCTTTTAAAAATTCAAAATAAGTTATTCCAAAATTCGCTTGAAAATGAAACACAACTAGTGCTTTTAATTTGATTAAATAATTGAATTTAAAGTTGTTAGTTTCTGTTTTTGAAACATGGTAATTCCTGTGTAGCGAAGGAACCATATTTTTAAATCAGTTAATTTATAATATCTAGTGTTATATGTTTGTGTGTGTGCGAAAGAATATGCGTATTATTAATATAAATGTTTAAATCAGAATTCAATGCGCGATACTATACACACACACACACATATATATATATATATATATATATATGATAAGCATGTCAAATAATTAATAATGTAAAAAAATGAATATATATATATATATATATATATATATATATATATATATATATATATAAAGCATGTCAACTAATTTATAATGTAAAAATAAATTTAAGAATTCTCTAAAAAGATAAAAATATGAACATTTTCAAATAGTTTCATCTCTTCTCTTTTCCACCAGATACTCCATTCTGGCCCCCAACGCTATCCCAGGTGGTTTCGCTGACGGCAAAGTGGTTACTGACAAGGTCTTGAGCGCTCTCCAACTGGACCCCAATGAATATCGTTTGGGTAACACCAAAGTCTTCTTCAAAGCTGGTGTCTTGGGTATGCTTGAAGACATGCGTGACGAACGTTTGTCCAAGATCATCTCCATGTTCCAGGCTCACATCCGTGGTTACCTCATGAGGAAAGCCTACAAGAAGCTGCAAGACCAGCGGTAAGTAAATTCCATTTCAACTCTATTAATGATGCTAATGGCACAACAAATTATTGAAATTATTAATGCATTCCTTTCGTTAATATACCTAGAACGATTATGTTAATCATCTATTATATATTCATATAATTATATGAACAATAAGCCATGCCACTTGATAACCCAGTGACTTGATTACGTGATTCTACGACCTGTCATATATTTCTTTAAGTATATCATGTTGCCGAAGCAACAGGCTCTTAGATCAAATCATCCATGATCCTCTAAGTCACTTCACTAAATATATCGAATCTTCTTTTCCGGTTATTGCTGTTTATCAGTGCTTATCTGTGAATTGCTAATTGTGAAATTCGGCAACTAATGAAAAAATTAAATTGTGTTAGCTAACTTACACATTCCTATACTCATGGCCGATGTTAGGTTCTCATGCCTCCCCGAATCTATCATACGGAGCCCCCACACACACACACACACGCTCTATTACATTTAATTTTTCATAAGTTAGTATTCATATGAAATAAAAAAAATTAATTTTTCAGTAAAAATGAAAAATAAATCCAATGTATCTAAAATCAAAATCGAGTTATGACGTAATAGATAATCCCATTTTAAATAAATCGACAATGTTTTGTGACAATTTTTAAGAAAAACTTGAGTTTTTTTTGTTGTTTTTTTCTGTTGTTGTTTTTTTTAAAAAAAAGTTGAATAATTTTAACTCATTGAAAACTTATGGATAAAATAGTGAATTTTATATACTGTCTTACATGGCTTAGCATAAACAAAACAGATTCACAGATTTGGACAAAAAATAGAATGACATCAAAATCCGTGAAATTTTTTTTAATAATCAGTTGTTCTTAGTTTAATTTGAAACATATCTAAATGTAGGTGAAAAAAAATTGTTGATAAGATGACGAATGCCAAACAGGCATACCCACCCACAATCGGTGTGGGGTCGAGGATAGTACGCATCGGCCCAGCTTATATTAATGATTTGTTGAATTGATTTCTGATAATTTGACATATTTAAATGAAATTTGAACGAATCGAATTTATAAAGATTAATTTTAATGATTTTTCTTTTTGTTTCCTTCCAGTGTTGGCTTGACTCTCATCCAACGTAACATCAGGAAATGGCTGGTATTGAGGAACTGGGAATGGTGGAGGCTTTTCAACAAGGTATGTTTTTTAAGCTTATATTCAATTTTAAATAATTAGTTAATTAGCGCTATACCTTTCTCGAGATCATTAGTACTAATTGGATATGAATTACATTTTCACAATTTTCTTTTCTGTATTGATAAACCTTACGCTGTTCCATACTCTGGGATAGTGGCTCATCTTTAAATTAATGTCTCTTCCGATCGTGGCACTTCACAGCTTCCTTTCTCTTGAATATCTCTAGAATTTGTACTGATTTGATGGTTCTTGGGAAATAGGTTATTCTTTGTTTTCTTAACAGTTTTGTATCTAGAGCTCTCCTACACTGAGAGACCTTAGTCTTTACAACTGTTTTACCAACGGATTCATGCCTTTTCCAATGGAGTTAGTACAAAGTAAAGAGAACTGACTAGGCCAGAATTTGAATTCAGTTGCACTTCAGTTTTAGAACAACGAAGTCATATATGAATAATAATGGATACTCTGAAAACAATTCATAAAACCTCTTACAGAGTGAAGCAATTATTACATGGTGCTTTCATTTCCCGATCGACTGCACTTCACAAGTTATTTTAGCTTACAATACGAATTAAAACACGGTTAAACAACTAGATTTGAAGATACGTTTACACTGAATGTGCGGGTGGTGTAATGGATAGAAGCCCAGAATTAGAAATCAGAAAGCTTAGTTCGAATTCCCGTCCGGTTTGTTACAATCACTTACTATTGTGAAAGGTGTGAATCCGCCACACTCTTCTCACCCACACAGTTATGAGTTTATAGTAGAACAGACTGATTTCTTCAGTCTTAGTTGGCAGAAGAACAAATCTGAATTCAAAAACCGTATGTAGTCCGGGTGATGAAAAACTCTATGATATTGACTCCGGTCAGTCGCCTCTCTCCCTATACCCAATAAACAATGTTAAAAATATAGTCTATAGCATGTTGTATAATATTTTATGCATACATTTCTGTGATGAGGACTTATACTAACTATATATTAATCTATTCACTTCATCCGTTGTAAACCCTGAATAAAGTCCAGAGTCTATATCTCCGGTTATCATTGGGGTGTTCGGGGCTATACCACAAAACTTAAAGACGCCCATCGTGAAAACCAGAACAAAGCTTAGTATCTGTTATGCCATAATACCTATTCTATTGTAATGGACTCTCCCACAGATAATAAGTAGTAGTAGTAGTGAACAGTTTGGCTCAGTGGTGTTGAGCGAGTCAGTCGATATCGGACATTGAAGTACCAACCATCACAACTAGATTGCTACGTCATTAACTCTTATTTCCAAGTTCCTAACGTTTTGTACGTCGAACCTAATTTAGGACGACTTATTAAAATACAAGCCTCCACTGTGAAAACTACTCTACAACAATCTCTTTAACCAATCTGCGCCCTAATGTGGTGCGAAATTTGTTTGAGGTATCACGACTCAATGGCGAACACCCATAATGCAAGATCTATTTAAAAAGAAAATCAAACGAAAGAAAATTGTACCTTTTAAAATATGCGCATACAGAAATATAAGGATTAAACAATAATTGATAAAAGCTAGATTTAAAATATCTCTTTTTGTATAAATCTCAGAGACGCGAGATTTGAAAAGCTTGTTTTCGTCTTAGCTGTGACTTGTAGTTTTCAAACTTCCTAATTCTTATAATCTTTATTTTTTAAAAAAATGGCCGATTTCTATTTTTCGCTTCTCTTTCCAAACAGGTTAAGCCTCTTCTGGGTATTGCTCGTCAAGAGGAAGAGAACAAGAAGGCCCAAGAAGAGTTCGCTAAGATGAAGGAAGAATTCGCTCGCTGCGAACAAATGCGTAAGGAACTTGAGGAACAGAACACTGTCCTCATGCAACAGAAGAATGATTTGATCATTTCTATGTCATCTGGCGAGGACGCATTGGGCGATGCTGAAGAGAAGATTGAACAGCTCATCAAACAGAAGAGCGATTTTGAATCTCAGCTCAAAGAACTCGAAGACAAGCTCATGGATGAGGAAGACGCAGCTGCTGAATTGAGTGCCCAGAAAAAGAAATCTGATGCCGAAATCAACGAACTTAAGAAGGATGTCGAAGATCTCGAAGCTGGTTTGGCCAAGGTAAGGTTCTTTGAAACAAAAGATCCAATTTGTTTTCATAGTTGTAGTTACTTATTAAAAAACCGTGTACAGACTTGATTAAATCGAAGAGTACCGCATTTACCTGGTAAATAAGACACTCATAAATAAAATTAAAAATATGAAAATATTATTACTTATCACCTTGTCTACTGAAGCTTGAAATTGTGATTTTCTAAGTGTAGCTGTGGCACAAAGCCAAAAGTATGAAGGACACAGTGAGGATCAAACTCACTATTCAGTCATAATTCATCAAGTGAGACAAGTATGATAACCATTACATCACATCAAAGTGCCCAAACTGAAGCTTGAAATGAATAGCAATAGGATTTGAATGAGTTGCCGTCCCTCACATGAAGGGCTTTTTGAAACCATATAATGTTTTCTTAGATGGCGCATAATCAATTATCGATTTTTTTCTTTCAACTTACAATTTATTCATATTATTTGACTTATTTTTAATTTACACTTCCGCCGTTGTAAACGAAGTTATTATCCTTATTATTAAAGGTGATTAATTTTAACGTGGATGAGTGGTCTAATGCACACCGGACTTAACGGATGTAGGTTCGAAACCTACTGGAAAGCACATTTTATTTATCGAATGCCTATGCCGGTTGACACTTTGTAAAAAAAACAAGGATGTATACTCAAACAAATTTATTTATGAAATATAATATTTAACACCGAATGATCTAAAAACACACCGGGTATAACTATACTGTCTACTACAATATAAACGCAGGTTCTAAACCTATCAGAACTTGTTATTAAGACTCTTGAATGCATAGGCCGTTAGACGTCAAGTTACACTGTGTAAAGGAAACAATGATGCTTACTCAAATACATGTAATTACTAGATATAACGTTTAAAGTAAAAACGAAATAATGACAGAAGTATTAATATCTGAGTGATTCTTGGAGTCGAGTAAAATGAACTTAACACCTATCATCTATCTTGCTTTTGTAGGCTGAACAAGAGAAAACTACCAAAGACAACCAGATCAAGACCCTTCAAGATGAGATGGCTCAGCAAGACGAACATATCTCCAAGTTGAACAAAGAGAAAAAGAACCTTGAAGAAGTGCAGAAGAAGACTCTGGAGGACTTGCAGGCTGAGGAGGACAAAGTCAACCACTTGAGCAAACTGAAGACCAAACTCGAACAGACCCTTGATGAACTTGAGGATAACCTTGAGCGTGAGAAGAAGATCCGCGGTGATGTCGAGAAAGCCAAGCGTAAGGTTGAACAGGACCTCAAGACCACCCAGGAAACAGTTGAGGATCTGGAACGTATCAAGAGGGATCTTGAGGATTCCGGCAGAAAGTTAGTGCTTCCTTCTTGCGCTATCTATTTCACTTGGCCTTTAAACATTGATTGTTATTGACATCTAACTACTAATCAGTATTATACATTCATTCAGAATTAGTCATTCTTATTAGTTTTACTTATATCATCCATCTATCTATCTATCTATCTATCTATCTATCTATCTATCTATCTATCTATCTATCTCTCTCTCTCTCTCTCTATATATATATATATATATATAGAGAGAGAGAGAGAGAGAGAGTAATTTAACTTGACAATTATGAGCTGAAGTTTGAAGTAGATTTTTTACTGTATGATTTACTGTGTGATCTTTGAAGAAACTTTGGATTAAGTACATTAACAAGGATAGTGATTATGTTGAAAAATTAATATTTGTAGTGTCGAAAAATTACTTACTTATCATTTTGAAGGATATAAGACTATTTGAAATTTCAGAAATACAATAAGAAAATATTTATTGTTCACATCTTCAGAAAAATACGATTTTTCTTCTATCTTACGTTTGTGTGAGATTTTTGTATTGGTTGGAACTTGGAGTTAAAAACATATTACATGTTTTTTTTTTCTTTTTTTGCGTCTCGTAGGAAGGATATGGAAATTAACGGTCTCAACTCCAAACTTGAAGATGAACAGAATCTTGTAGCTCAACTCCAGAAGAAAATTAAAGAACTCCAGGTAATTATGTTTACCCTGTTCACTTCTTGCACATTTTTCACAAGATTATTTTGTGAGCGCTGCAAAAACCACACGCTTCTTTTTTTTTTTCTTTTTTGAAAGCTTCTTAGAATAACAAAACAAAAAAAGGACAAGAATTACGTCGTGCGCGTCAAAGCAAAAACACGGAATCACTTTCGCATATCAGAGGAGTTCAAAACGACTACCACCTTCGAAAAAAATAAAAATGAGTTGCATGAATCAAAGTTTGTAATATTAGTTTACATATATTTATTACTATTGAACACGTCTTCTTACTTTTTAAATTAGAAATAGAAAAAAAAAAGAAATATTCATTCGAAATCACACCACTTCTCGCACTTTTTCATTCAAAATCTCGCACTTTCTCATTCATAATCTTGCACTTTTTCATCCATCTTTTGTCTTTACTTGCATGATTATTTTTATTTTTCTCTTTTTACTTTTTCTTTCTTTTTCACGGTTTCCTTTTTTTTCTTTTTTTTAATATGGACAGCACTTAGACACTTCTTTCTATCTAGTCGTCATCTTTTGGGGCATATTTTCTTAAACATACTAGCTTTTGTCTTTGTTCGCTTTTGCCTATTACATCTTAGTTCAAATCACCTCAGCTTCTGCACAAATAGTTAGTACTAATGGCTTTTTTAATGAGTTGGATTTGTCAGCACTTTTTCTCTTATAGCAGCCAATTTCTTTGCCGACCGTATTGTCTCTTGGCTCTTGAATAAAACAACTTCAAAACATTTGTGTTCCTGTCTAAGCGCTGGTGCATCACATTCATTTATTATCCACAGTTTTGTTACCGTTTGTCTTTTATTTATTTATTTTACTTGCGTTGGGGAGTAACATGCATAAATGATTATAACAGGAGGAGGCTTGTTGTCACATAGTCCCCAGCAGAAATCCGTATATATTATTGGCGTGGACATTCAAATAATAATAATCGAATAGTCACAGAAAGCCTAAAGCTGCCCAAAAGAACTGAGAAAGATGTTGGAAATTTGAGATTATGCTTGCTCCGAGTTGAGATATTGCAATAGCCACCAGATATTCGTCATCAACATGCAATAATACTGATAATAATAACCCCACACTCCTCCCCGATATTTTGGACAGGAGTAGAGGTTTATTCCTTAGTTTCTGTTCAGGATTAGGTTCACAGTTCTTTCTAATGTTTTCTCATTCTCTTTGGCTCTCAGCAGCTCGTTATAATGGTATTATCGCTTTACTTGGGATGAACTGATTAAAAAAAAATAAGCCAAAAAAATCCTGTTGTTATTGTGGCTTTGAGAATTATAACAAAATGAGTAGACAAATATGTGAGTCAAATTCCTGGTCGCCCTAAAATATGTGAATTGCAAAAAATTATACTCACGGGTCCTTTTCACACATTGCGTAGACTTCTCTCCGTTCAGTGACCACAATTTTCTTTCTTCTCTTTGATTGCATTTGTATCTCTTCTGGTAGCAAGAAAAAGAAAACTCATCTGGATAAGACTAGGAGGACAACTCGTCATACACAAAACAAATACAAAACACAAGCACAATAATAATAACAAATAAAATATGTCGTTTATATATACACATTTAGGAAATTATTGATCATTTAATATCTGGATGCTATAGCCTATTACTAAATGAATTTAAAAATAGGCATGGCAGATTAACGAGTGAAATGATATAATCACATAAATTTAACAAAAGAAATAATATCACGGAGAGAAATCCTTAAGATTAAAATGAAAACACAGTCTTTAAAGAATGCTTCATGACAACATCAAAGTTCTCGCTATAATCTGTACTACCACTGCTTAAATTATAGTTACCAAAAATGGCGTGGGCGTATTTAAAAAATGAATGTATCTAAATCATTTATTTATTCGATTTTTTTTCATTCGAGCAGTCATTTTTTTAATCAGCCTCTTAAGTTTCATACGTGATACACGCTTAGGCGATCATGTCTCTTTCGATTCATGACTGAATTGGCCGAAGATATTCCCGCAATAGGTTGCCGTTTCCTTATCCTAGGTCGGATGCCAACCAAGGCTATTCAACTATAGCTGGAGAAGGAGAATATCCAGGCCGGTTTTGAATTGTGAGTTTTCCTTCTAGACCGGTTGCAAATCAAATCTATAGGATTAAGTCTATCCTGCTATTCAACCATATCTGGGAGTGAAGAGTCTCCAGGCTGGTTCTGAACTCAGTTTTCCTTCTCCTAGATTAGTTGCCAACCAAGTCTATAGGATCTAGTGTAGCCTGTTATTTAACCCTTATCTGGAGAGGAATAGAAGAGATGGATGCTTCGTTTTAATTCTCTAACTTCATCTTTCGTACAATCTTTCTTCGACGTACCTCGGTCTCCTTCATACGTGGAAGATAGTACACTCGAATGCTTCTTTAAGATTAAACACAGAAGTTTCTCCTCCCTCCTTCAGAAAAAAAGAGTTTTTTTTTCTTTATAAATTATTAAAGCCATCATCTTTCGCTCATAACTCACTGAACAATATGGCCACCAATTTGCTGAAATCGTATAATTATTACTAGCTTTCTGCTCAAAACGTAACATGTCTTAAGCACACTTGACAGCTATTTTTCTCTCTAAAGATATTCACTGAAGAAAAGGAGGTGAAAGTAAAAAAAATGAGTAAATCTTATGTGTTTTTTTTCCTCCACGGCAATTGTTCAGTTTTCAAGATGCATAACATATAGTCCTATGCTTTTGTATCTGTCTATATTTCTGAGATGGGGTATAATGTAAATAGTGTTCTATGCTTTTGTAAAGCACTTAGGTAATGTCTTGTACGAATTAGTATTAGTAAAACTATATTCTAACCTGTATCATAATTACTTACCAAATATTATAACAACTTTAGTATAGGAAATAATTGAACATATGATAGGCTACACAAAATGCTCAGTCAGTCAGTTATGTGCCATACGTGATACACGCTTAGGCGATCATGTATCTTTCAATACATGACTGACGAGGCAGATTTTTTTCCTGAAGTAGATTGCCATTTCTTTCTGCGGCAGACTAGTTGCCATCCAAGGCTATAGAATCCGGTGTGTCCTGCTATTTACCCATAGCTGGGAGGAGAAGTAGAGGATTCATACCTTTACCAAGGGTATTAGCACGTAAGTGAATGTAATGGATTCGACTGGAATTCGAACTCGGCTCTCCGATTCCTCGATCCGAGCCACTATCCGTTACTCCACCAATGCTACAAAACCAACATATTCACCTGAAAACTCAATGCCTATTCTTAAATAGTCTGATCTGATAGAGACTTTCTCATGGATGGCACCAAACCTATTCAGAAATATCTAAAATCCCAGCTGTATATATCAGCTTTCTAATATCAATGGTTAAAAATGTCTTTGAGCGACTGAAGCCTGTGGATTTTGGTGAAGCCCATCTTACTTCGACCATTGAGGACTAGCGCCAGTTCATAATGTTCGAAGCCGATCCTTCTTCGACCATTTTTCACTAGTGCCAGTACACAATGTTTGAAGAAGAACTGTACCAGATACAAAGAAACCACATCACCTGAGGACTTTCAACAGCAACAACAGCTAAGATATAGATATCACTTGTAACACGAAGAGAAAATAATAACAATCAAGATGTTGACATTCCACACTACTTCAAATAAAAGGTTAGGAAGGAAACTCCCATCAATACTGGAAATAGCGATACTTGCTACTGAACTTGAGAAACCTATTTTCAAGGAAGGATTTTATAAATATCAACCGAAAGCAGTACTGGCTGCTCGGTTAATGAATGCTGAATGTTTCCTTATAAGGAAACGGCTAATATTACCATTACCATTTCCAGCTTAGAACACTATTTTATACCAATCCTTATGCAGAGAAACTCAAAGACTGTTTTAAAATGTTTTTCATTGTTTCTCTAAATATAAACCCGCTCGCTAGGTCAACTAGCTACAAATTAGACTGAATTGCAAGACATGTAGATGGGCCTGAAAAGTGTTTTAAAATACTAAACTAAAAACTGGTACCAGTGAATTCTGGTATTCTCCTTTGCCTTACGTTCTGTATAGTCTTCTGAAGGCTTCTTGGTGCCAGTGCAAAGATTTTTTGTTAATAGAGATCTTTTTGGCACCAATGTCTGCACGTATTTACAGGACGCTTGCCAAAATGTGTCCAAAAAGGCAAAACTAGGAAGTCGAAGAAAAGGAAACGCTAACAATAGACAAAATAGTCTGTGGAATGAGGAAGCAGTCTGCTCTATGTTATCTAGCAGGAGATCATCTGCTTGAAGAGGCGGAGTCTTTAGACCTTGAGTCAATGAAAGTGTAGATATATCAAAAACAAACAAAAATGTACAGACAGAAATGTCGAACCAAACCTGTAGACCATAAAAAGTTGACTTGTTGATTTTCATTCGTGATTCACGTCTCGTCAGCTCGTCTAAAATTGGAACAAATTTTGTTTCTGATAATTCGCAGACATATTCTGTTTCGCCTTACAAGAACTATAGCCAAGTTGCCAAAACGGCTTCCTCGTCATTGCATATGCGAAATTATTCTATTGTGACTTTGTATCTTTTGCTGAATGGCTTTAATTGGTTATCCAATTCAGTGCCAACAATTCTCATAGCCAAAAAATAGATAAATAAAGTTAGATGTTGTTTTTTTTTTTATTTCTTCCGTGACTGACAGAATCATTGTTATTACTCACTTTTGGGTCATTTATTTTCTTAGCTAGCTTTGTCGGCATCTAAGAAATGTTGATGAAAAAAAACGTTGAGAAGGTATGATAGGGATGTTTAGGGCTGTGTGTACGGAAGAGAAAATGCCTCTCTAAATATGGCGAGAGAACTTCAAAACTAAAAAAAAAAGCAACAATTCTTGCGCTTCTTGAAGTCTTGATTTAGTAACTGAATACCGAGTGTGGGAATGTAAGCACTTACATGGTAGGTAAGACTTGTCTGGCTGACTTGCTGAGGCAGACAGACGTGGA